TCATATTAATTCAACATGTAGTGTTCGGACATCAGTATACCATTAAATAAAGTAAGTCAACGGATATAACTGCTAATCGCCTTGAAATATTCCAAAATTTTGAAAAAACCGTTTCGTACCAATTCAAGTCACCGTCAATTGGTTCACTTGACCGGCAGAGCTAGATACAGATGTAATTGCACAAGAGCCCGCAGAGAGTTTCAACAAATTAACATTCATTATGGTATGAAAAGTTCATAAACTATGTTTTTTTACCTCGGAAGGGCAAACGAATTCAGGATAGGTATTGACAAGGAAATGGTTTCAAATGGTCTCATAGCACGCTGTTTAGAACCAAACACCATTATAGTGCATTACAAGGTTAATTCAGTTTCAATTGCAAAAACAAACTTACCTCGAAGCCTGAAAATAATCCTTTTGTGATGACATGACGTTAATTAGTTAGGTAGTCTACATCGCACTTTAAGATACTATGAAATGATTCACAGAGACGCCACAGAACATCGCTTCATCAAACGTGGTACTAAGTCTAGTTCTCATTAATTTAAGGTTATAAAAGAAATCGAATTTAATTGCATTGGGAAAAAATTTTCGCTTAATACTACAACTGCATTGCGAAGTCATGCACAGTAAATTTAAAGGCTATGCTGTCGATGGTGATGGCAATGAAGCAATTGTTCATTTAGGTAAAATTTTTTATTAAAATAATTTAAGTTCTATTAACAACTTATTCTTTTTGTCTGGATCATGATCATTTTTATAGTGGCCTTGTATTTGCAGAGCTGGACTTCTCTGTCCGAGCTTCAAATTGAAGACGGTATCATGACACTTTCGATTAATTTGGCTGATGATATCTATCATAAGTGATTAAATAAACTACTACAGAACAGCGAAGGAGGACGCAAAGGAAAAAATTCGACCTTCGTAAATGAAGAGAGGATCCATTTAATTAAGCAAACGGGCAAACCAAATAGACTTACTAATAAGATGGGACAGGCGCTTGTGCGAAGAATAAACCCCGATTAAATGCTCTCAAAATTGTTGCAGATGAAGGCCACGGAATACGGAAAGGAAGTGTCAGCATCCACAATAAGGGGTACTCTTAATGCAAAGCGAGAATGTAATAGGAAACGAAGACTATAATTTGCCAGAAAAACCGGTTTTAAGACCAATTTTTGATGGAACTAAGTTATATTTCCTGATGAGAGCAAATACAATGTTTTTAGATCCGATCCTCGAATAATGATTTAGCCTAAGGGAAACGGATAACTGCAAACTTTAATTGCTAACAATAATATAAAAGCAATAGGCAAATCGTATTCGGTTGTAACTGATACGAGTATGTGTTCGAGTGTTAAATACTCTTCGCCTTAATTGCATTGACGTCAAACTCGATTAAGTTGTAGTTCTGACTATATTGTTTCAACAATTTTAGGATAGGATCGCTGTTACCATAGTTAAGTTAACTGGGATATACACTGTCTCAGCAAGCTAGCTGAGTATAATAGATTGCAAAGTGTGCAGTCTCAATGTTATATAGAAAAAGACCGGCCACCAATTTAAAGAGCGGCAATTATTTTATATCTTTTTTCCTGCAACTGGAAAGGAAAACATTAAACAAAACCTTTTTCTGCAACGAAGCTTGATTAAATATTCTTCATTGATCAATGTAAATGTTCTAACCTTTCAGTGAAAAAGTTTGTTGCAATAAAAGAAAATCCGGCCTTTCACCAGTTTTAACAGGGCAAGGGGGAGAAACAATACAAACACTTTTACAATAATTCTCATTATCGACTGCCGCATCTTTACTCTAAGATTGAGAAATCCTTCTTCAGACTTCTGCTATCATCTATTAAAAAATGAAAGTAACTCAGAAGCTTCCAAGTAGTGCACATACTTTATAAAGTTAAAAGTGACTTTCTTATTATGACCATTACGTATATAAAGTGAAACCATTATCATTTTCATATTTGATCAAAAATATTTGTACAATCCGAGAAAACATTGAAACTACAGCCATATTTCGACAAGTACTACTAGTAGTCACTATCTCCGCTCGCACTTGCTTCGCATGCCTGCGTCCGTACATTAGCCGAGTTAAATTTTGGGCAGACATTTCAGGAAAGCTTTTATGACTTTAATTATTCCAATAAAATAAAGTGTATGTGAAAAGACTCTCAGAAGCATCGTTAGCGAAATTGAAAATTTTTTATGTTGATGATCCAATCGCGACTCTAGCCGAACGGTTACTGTTGACTATCGGTAAAAATAAACCTTTTATTGATTCCGAGCAGCACATAGAGATTGCTGGGATCGGACATAACCTCACCATTGACATGCAGGTTATTCACAGTAAAAATAGGATATTCGCACTGTATCCGAATCAATAATTATGCCTCTTTCGGTGTTCCGAAATCGGCAATAAAATTATTCCACCTGAACTTTAAAAAAAAAAAAACTCAAGGCCAAATGAAAGTTTTCATCAAGACAAAAAAATTTTCGTTTATACGGCAATTAATTATCCAAATAAACAAATTTCTTTGTGAAACTCATTTGTCACTAGTTGGAATGTAACTCATAGACATCTGTAAACCGATTTTACATAAGAAACACTGCGGAGCCTTTAATTGCTTAGTTAACCTGTTGACTAATTGCAGCAATTGTAAAGCACACGTGAAAGTCGCGTGGCTTCGATTTGCATATAACGGCAGCTGTTGCTATGAATTCTTGAAAGATTGTTAAGTAAATGTATATTAGCTTTAAAACAAATGTGTTATACTCATCGTCCGCAATAGAAAACTAGCAACAACAAACTAGCAACATTGATTATTCTTTATAAGAATTGTGATTACATTTATTAGGATTGAAGTATAGTATGGTTTACTTGTTTACCTACATTTCAATACAACCCTTGTTATTCTCTTATATTTTTTGGAGTAGGCAGAATTGAATACTTTTATTTTTTTTGCCTTGTAACATGGCATAAATTCGAATTTGAATTAATCAGGTTTTCGCTATCAGAGCCTATGTCTTATGGTTTTTAACTTTCAAAGAAGAAAGCAGAAAAAAACCAATTATAACAAAAACGCGCATATGAATGAAAATTTTCGTATTTGTCATGCGAATAAATCAATTAATAATATTTATGAAACTAAAGGGGAAATAATATATAACTGATTCATTAATGAATACAAGAAATTAGATATTTACTTATGCGACATAATCGTTGTCTTCCCTCAACTACTTTTTACTGACAATATGTATATTAACTTACCGTAATGCACGTTCACATTATGGCTTTTTTAATATTTTTAAACAAGAAAAACAATCGAAAAGCAAATCTATATCCGATAATGTAAAAGTTCTATTTCATAAAATCGAATTAAGGGTTGCCTTGGAAAAAAACATCATTCTTCTCGTTTTTAATCTGTTCCGTTCCAAATAAGTACAGAGATGTCATAATATTCATAGAAAAAATTCGACTTTGTCACCCTGTTATTTGTCGGAACGCATAAGTATTCGCTTTCATTTTTCAACTATTTTATTGTTGTTGTTTTGAGTGCCTTTAAATTGAAATTTTTAAACTTTCTTTAGATAATTCGCAAAACTTTGGCTGCAAAAAAACGGATAATTCATCAAAACACTCAAGCGGTTTGTTATAAATCATAGAATGCCGCCAACAATTAATAGTGCCGCAATTCCAGCTGACAAAAGGGCGCAAAGGCCTGCAGAGAAGAAGTAAGTACTTTCTACTATTTTTTTGCTCCCGGTTTTGTTCGATTTTTTAATCTTATAAATTCTATTACAAACTATTTCAGATCTGATCTAATATGCCGGATTAAATATGGCAATAATTTGCCGGATATACCATCCGATTTGAAATTTTTGCAATATCCATTCGATAGTCATCGTTTCGTCCAATATAATCCGACTTCACTGGAGCGAAATTATAAATACGAAGTATTAACTGAACACGATTTAGGTGTGACCATCGATTTGATTAATCGTGATTTATATCAAGCTGATCCGTATGCTCAATTGGATCCAGCTGATGAGAAATTGTTGGAAGAAGACGTTCATACACCTCATGATTCAGTTCGATCTAGGCAACATTCGCGCAGTGTTTCTTGGTTGCGCAAATCTGAATACATTTCCACCGAGCAGACTCGCTTTCAGCCTCAGAATCTTGAGAACATTGAGGCCAAAGTGGGTTATAATGTGAAAAAATCTCTACGTGAGGAAACTTTGTATTTAGATCGCGAAGCTCAAATTAAGGCGATTGAGAAAACCTTTAGCGATACGAAGAATGAAATTAGTAAACATTATTCTAAGCCGAATGTGGTGCCCGTAGAAGTCTTGTCAGTATATCCAGATTTCAACAATTGGAAGTATCCTTGCGCTCAGGTCATTTTCGACAGTGATCCGGCAACAGTGGGCAAAAATGTACCCGCACAGTTGGAAGAAATGTCTCAAGCAATGATTCGCGGTGTTATGGATGAGAGTGGAGAACAATTTGTTGCTTACTTTTTACCAACGGAAGTCACTTTGGAAAAGAGACGTTCAGATTTTGCTGAGCAGATGCTCTATAAAGACGATGAAGAATATGAATATAAGATTGCTCGCGAATATAATTGGAATGTAAAGAGTAAAGCTTCCAAGGGTTATGAAGAAAACTATTTCTTCGTAATGCGTCCTGATGGCGTATTCTATAATGAGCTTGAGACTCGAGTACGTCTGAATAAAAGGCGTATGAAAGTTGGTCAACAGCCAAGCAATACGAAATTAGTAGTAAAGCATCGCCCATTGGACGCCAATGAACATCGCATGCAACGTTATCGGGAACGGCAGTTGGAACCAGCCGGTGATGAAGATGAAGAAGAGGAAGAAATGGTAGTTGATGGGGATGGGGTGGAAGAAGAGCAACCACAAGAGTTACAAGAGGACGATAACGATAAACCTAAGCCGTCGGATGTAGAAGAAAAATCTAGAGATCGAAAGTCGCGTTCTCGTTCCAAGTCTCATGCCAAATCGCAATCCCGTTCACGCTCTCGTTCAGGTTCAAGATCGGGATCTGATTCAAGATCTGGATCGGCTTCGGGCGATTCCAGGGCGTCTTCCAGATCACGGTCCCGTTCGAAATCGGGCTCACGCAGCCACAGTCCCAGTCGCAGTCGTTCGCGCTCGAAATCTGTTTCACGTTCCCGCTCTCGCTCACCTTCGAAAAGTCGTTCACGTTCGGCGAGTCCGGCCAGTAATGCAGGCGCTTCCGAAAAGTCTGGTTCACGTTCACCCACAGCTTCAAGAACATCACGTTCACGTTCTCACTCGAAAAGCGTTTCTCGGTCGCGCTCTCGCAGCGGATCTGGTTCACGTTCCGCAACACGATCACGAAGCCGCAGCCCAAGCGGCTCAGGAAGTGGCTCTGCCTCTTCGAGTGGTTCAGAAGACGATTAATTTGTTATTTGAATAAATGGAATTTTTAATTTTCTCCCCAAAAAGGATTTAAAAAAAAAAAAAACAAAGCAAAAGCTCACAAAATCGATATAGTACCATTAATGTTCTAAATAAAACAAAATTTAATATAAAAAATAAATTTCACTTCTCGCCGGGGAAATCCAACGATACTACACTTAATTTAGCAGAAGTTGAAGATTTCATTTGAGATTCTTCCGACATGGACGAACGCGAAGTATCAGGTAAATCGACAATCTTAGAGGATAACGATAAACCATCACATCCAGAAATATCACTGCGCCAGGATATGCCACTACGAGTTTTATGTAATAAATGCGGTAACTTCATACCGCGATCAGCGATTGCGCGCGCTATTTTGGGACCCAATTCATAATCATTATCAGCGATATCGCCTAATTGATTCAAAACGTTCATATTGCGTTTTTCCAATTCTTTCAAATCAATATCATGTTCATATAGTTCGAGTAACTCATTGCTAATATTCTGTTGTTTAATAGCTTTTAGGGCCTGCTTTAGTTCGTGATCTGCTCGATGCATTTTTATCTTTTGTTCATCCAGCTCTTTTCGCAATCGCGTTAAAAAATCAATATTTTCCATTCTAAAAGATAATACAATTACAAATATATATATATGTATATATATATATATTTTTTTTTTAAATTAACGAAAAATCTGAACCTCTTATTATGTTCCATTTCTAGGGTTTTCTCCAATCCGTTTTTTTCTTTTGAAGAGATTTCGTTATAGTTATGCAATTTAATGTATTTTCGCTGTAAAATTTTTACTTTTTGCAAAGTAGCGCAATAATTCTTACGCATTTCTTTGAACTCGTTATTCGCCTCTTCTGAAGTGGGTAAAAGGTTTAAATATATATATGTATGTATGCAATGTATTTGTAGATATATACAGTAAGAGCTCCTTATTCGCGGGGGATACGTTCCATAAAAATGCCGCGAATAGAGAAACCGTGAATACGGAATAATAATTTATAAGGGATTATAGGGGATACGTTCCTAGGTGACAAAATAAAAAAAATCAATTTAATTGAAGTTTTTGAACATTTTGATCAATTATCTTAAGGCTTAGGCAATGGTTTGAAGAATTTTGTAAGTTTCTCTTTCTCTAAAAATTAGACTTCGTTCCATAGACGGATCAACGTTCATTTGCTGTTCTTAACCCTTCAATAAGACTTTTCAAATTAGATGTCACGTTTCCAGTGCTTGTTGAAGCCTCTTCTTCAATGGGCGATGAATTTAACATTTCCTTCAAGTCGATTTCAGTCAAATCTTCATCTTGCGATTCAATCAATTCCTGAATGTAATTTGATTCTATCTGTTCGAACCTGTCTCGTCCTATTCCATTCGCGATTTCGGCTATGTTTGCATTCAACGTTTGAACTTGCACAGATTCTTCGTCATTTCCCGCAGTCAGAGCAGGCCACAGTTTTTTCGCAGCCTGACTTCGATATGTGTAGCTTCTCAGTTCTTCCAATGATTCTTTTATGTTTACGATCAAATTTCTTCCAGCATTCCATAACATTCATATCGGGATTATATTCCGTATTATCCGATATGATTTCGAAGATTCGTCTAATGTAGTAGAGCTTAAAGGCCTGGATTATGCCTTGGTCCATAGGTTGAAGCAAAGCCGTCGTGTTGGGAGGTAAAAATGTCACTTTTATATTTGGATGCATAGCTTCAAGTTCGCGAGGATAAGATGGTGCAGTGTCCAAAACTAAAAGTGCTTTAAAGTCTAAATTCTGTTTTTTTGAATAAGTTTCAACTTCAGAAACAAAACAATTCTGGAACCAGTTGCAAAAAATCCGAGAATAAAGGAATTTATAGCCGCGCATATGGGAACTGGGTCGCATTTCTTTAAACCGCGAATAGTAAAACCACGAATGAGGAGCTTTTACTGTATATGTATATATATATATATAAATATATTTATATGTATGTGTTTGTAGATATACACACGCATATATATATGCACGAATGTGTAGATATATACGTATAAACATAGATATGCAATGAATATGTATGTATTTGTAAATATGTATATATAAAGTGTGGATGTATATAATGTTTATAATGTATTTGATGTTATTCTTATTAATAATTATATACGTACCGCCACCGGGATGTGTGCGTACATCTTTGCGAAAGTCATCGTTGGCATTATTAAATAAGGCCAAAGTATTGCCTAATGCCTTTATCTCTTCTTCAGCTTTTAAAACATTTTCGTTAAGGACATTACCTTCATCCAGAAGCATTTGCTTCTCTTGGGCAGTTTCCACTCTTAACTGCGTAGCAGTTATTAATGTACCATCCGAATTGACACCCAACAATTTCGAAGTTAATTCAAATCGAGCTTTTACCGCTTCTAGATGCTTAGTCCTCTCGCCGATATCTGCACGTAAAGTGCTTAACTCTTCGTTTAAATGCTTGCGTTTTAATTTAAGCAAATCAATTTGACTTTTAATTTCCACGATGCGATCGTTAATGGTGCGATTCAAATGCATACGATGCTTAGATAGATTATACGTATTATCATCGCAATGATTTATTTCAATTTCGAATTCATTGGTGCGCATTTTGAATATGCTTAAATCGACAATGTAACCTTGATTGCGACGCGTGATATCCTTGAGAAGTTTTAAACTGCCCTCGCAATAGACTTGGGCCTCCTTGATTTTGAAATTTATTTTATCCAATTCGGCGGTATCGTTATTATAAATTACAGTTAATTTTCGCATATCATTATCAAGTTTTTTGTTTTGCATCTGAGTCGCTTGAAGGACTTTAACTAACTTGTTATGTTGTTCTTCTAATTCTTTCAGATAGTCTTTATTTTTCACTTCAAGTTCAGGATCGATCAAACCGCCTTTCAATGTCATTACCTTATGCTCTAATTGCAAAACCTTAAAAGCCTTTATTATATAAAAATCAAAGAAGAAGAACAAGACGAAAAAGAAGAATAGTCACTAAATAAAATTCACTGCATATTAGGTAATAAACTTTGTAACGTTACCATGTCATAATGGACTTGGGTCTGATGTTTCAATTGTTTTTCATAATTATCGATATTCCGCTTCATGGCCACCGCTCCGCTGCGGTAAGCATCAGCAGCCGTCTACGGTATATAATGTTTCTTATAAAAATCTTCTAAACAAAAGTATTTTTTTTTAATTTCAATTACATACCAATAATGTTTGCGCGTCATCCTGGAAAGTTTTCAGTTGCAACATACCACGATACGAAATGCCATTAATTCGTTCGTTTTCTTTACCAACTTGATTTGCTATTTTCTCTTCCGCATCCATTAAATCTTCCAACTGTTGCAAACGTTGTGCAGCCGATAAATTTTGATTTTGTTTATCCTTCAACCTTTTAGTTAACGTCTCTACCAATCCATTAAGTTCTTTTATTTGCGTTAACCGATCAGTTTGCAATTGTATATTACGACGATTCTCAATGCGTTGCTGCTCAACACGATGAGCTAAACCTTGCAATTCTTTTTGCAAGATATCCACCTGAAATCACAAAATGTATATGTGTATGTATGTTTGCTTTACAAAAGTTGCCAGTGATATTGAAACATATCTCCATCAAGACTCGATATGCTTTCTTAAGAAGATCCCTATATGATATTGCGAGTCTAATGAGCTCTGATACTTTAAAAACTTAAATTGCTTATGTAGGAGTCAGGGCAGATAAGAGATGTGATTGTTTATAAAAACACTTGGGGACGCAATCTTAGCTTATAGAAATTTTAAAGTCTTAAAACTTGAGACGTTAGACTGAACATTAGAGGGAGTACAAGTTGCTCACAAGACGCTTTTTTCGCATCCGCATAGTAGCTACCGTGAGTAGACAAAAATTGCGATTATTAACACTGTGATTGCGGGTTCTCAAATCCCAATGCAGTAAAACTTTTCTATGATCATAGCTATTGCGCACGCATCCGACAGATTTCGACCGCTTCCTTATCTCTTTCCTTTTCTTTACTACGCGTATTATAGAAATAGGGGATATCCCCTGAATGATTAGTAATGTTGGTAATAAAAAAAAAAATAAATAAATATCGCTTCTGGTTATCTCTTTCCATTTAAGAGATCCTTAGGAGATCTTCGATCGATATTTTGATATTCCGAGTCTGCTTAACTTGCTTAAAAATGCAGATAAAAGATGCGATCATTGAAAAACACGATCTTGAAACGCAGACATTAGATTGAAGGTTAGTGTAGACGTCTCCCTTAGGCTTAAGTCTTATCACAAAGCCTGTTTTCCATTCCCGCATACTAACTGTCGTGAGCAGGCAAGAAAAGCGATTATCAAGTCTGTGTTCGCCGGTTCAAATCTCAATCCAGTAGAGATTTCTTTCATCTTAGCTATAGTGAATTAGTTCACACATACCACTCAGCGATTGCGCACATACCGTCCAGATTGCGTACGTTTCCCTCTCTCTTTCCTTTTCCTCACATATCGTATTATAGTAATAGGGGACATGATCTTAATGACTGGTTAGTCATAAGTTAGTCTTTCCATGATGAGCTCTCTTCGTAGCGGCAATTAACTAAATCTTAAACTTGAAATACATAGCAAGAGAAACGATTTATCTCTTCGGCTAGTTCTCTATAATTTTCCTTCAAAACGAAACATCTTGAGAACTATGAAGCATGTATGCGAGACCCATTCATCTAATTTATGCTTATTTCTTTAACTGGCGAACAATTTTAATTTCATGGGATTATTAATTAGGTAAGGGATACCTCCTGCCGGTGCGAGCACGTTGCTGATCGGGAAAGGTAACAGAAAGATTGGTATGAAAAAAGAAAGTAACTGGCTTTTAGCTGCACGCAATCGTCAATAATCATCAAATCGAGCAAAACTACTTCAACTGCTCTAGGCAAACAGGCATTAAAGGTGTCAATCATACTGAAAACTTAGTATTCGGCTTAGTATTCTATTGAGATCAAACTTGACTTTTACAGATATTTGCGAAAGGTTGGAAGTGCCAAACGATCAATCGATCGAAATCAAGCGAAAAGAAACTGTTCGCAAAGAAAAGCTAAAAGAAGAAGTGAAGTTGAAAATGCGGAAGAATTGTCATCAAAAATAAAATGATTATATATCTGGAGATTTTGAACTAATAGATCTCAATTTTACCTCATTCGTTTTCAAAATCACCATATCCGACAACATTTGTATTTGCTCTTTAATCTGTGAAGCTTCGGTATTCAATTCCTCAATATTCATTTCAACTGTACGATTATTTGCAATGATTCCATTTAAACGATCTTCGCTCGATTTCAGCTCTCGACCTTTCTCTGCGGCTAGTTCACGCTTTTCGAGCAATTTTATTTCGATATGACGTATATTTTTTTCACGTTGAACCATTTGAGTAACCGCCAATTTCCAAATGTTAACCATTTGTCGTCGTTCCGAGTGTGCGGTTCGGTATAAATTCGCTGTGCACTCGAGATTGCATTCTAACGTTTTTTGCTCATTATATAAATTGATTAATTTATTCCGACAGACTTCCATTTCGCTGGTTATTTTTTGACGCCTTTGATTTTGCAATTTAGCTTGTTTCTGATCATCCTTATAATACATATCAATTAATTGATAACCACGATTGCCATCCTCCATTGCTTGACGCCATTCGATAAGTGCCGTTTTCGCCCATTTAATGCGATTAGTTGCATCATCAATGTTATGCTTTCGTTTACACATTTCCTCTACGGAAAAATATAAAAATATATAGACATATATATATATATATATAGAGAGAGAGAGAGAGAGAAATTTTAATTATTTTAAATATATATATGTATGGCTAATATGCCTCAAAATCTCTGCCTACTTTCGGTGGTGTCGACAAAATTTTTATAATTATTCCATTCTTTCGAGACGCTCTTTAAATCCTCTTTCAACTTGGAATGCGTGCGTTGTGCTAATTTATAGAGATGAGCTTCCGTACGGGTCTCTCTTTGATAGGCTTCCAATAATTTCTAAAAGAAAATTTTTCCATCATTTTACGCACATATATGAATATAAAATTTTCAATTGCTTTATCTGTCTCACCAAATTATGATTGATTGTCATTTCGGCATTTTTTGCATGTTGTTGCAATTTCTCATAACGTTCCGAAATGTTTTGATCTTTATCGATGACGTCATCTTTTGATTTAGATAATTCCCAAATCTCTTCTAAGATGCTTCGATTTTCTTCATTGGCCATCGGAACCTTCGATGAGATATTCCAGCCCATTGCGGTCATGGCTTTTTTCAGCAGCGTCTCATTCATTTTTTCGAGAGCCATTTTTCAAAATGCATAAAACAAAAATTCCTCTTCTTCTTCTTTATTAATTTATTTTTATTTTATTGCTGTGAAAAAACGAAAAAATATATTCTTTTTAAAAATTTCCTCCTTTTTTTTTTTTTTTTTTTTTTTTATATTATATATATAAGAGTTTTTTATATATTTAAGTCAGAGAGAGAGAGAGAGAGAGAGAGAGAGAGAGAGAGAGAGAGAGAGAGAGAGAGACTTTTTAAATAGTCTCCATGGTGAAGTTTTTGAAAAGTTATATCAGATTGTTTCTTAGCGACTACATTACTTGAACAAAAAAAGAGAGTAGTAGTATTGCTAGTTGCTAGTGCTTATCTGCTTTTAGTCTTGGAAGTTACATTTTCATTACACTATTTAATGTCCGACACAAAAATAACACAAAAATAGCGACTTGTAGGTTGAACACACACAAGAAATCGAAATGGACAGGCGGACAGACAAGTAGGTTAGGTTGAATCAATCAGCATAGGAAAAGGTGGTTCTAACTTAATAGGCTGTCATGTCACAAGTGGTGTGGGGTATATAAAGGAGTTCATAGTCTTAGTTGGTAATGCTCATCCCACTTTTAGCCCTAGAATTTATTTCTTTGACCCAAACAAATTATAGTAATAATAATAATATTTCGAAACTAAGAACTAAATGATCGTAGGTTCAAAACTCAAGTGCGCCAGACTTTTCATAATAAAGCCGATAGCCTTAGATGCTAGGGCTTTAAGATTTAAGTGCTAGAATTTATTCCCTGGCTGAACTAATTGTGATAATAATGACAATAATAAAAATTTCACGATTTTCATACGTTATATTCGGTTCACCACAAAGTTTTGATAATGAGATCCACATAAAAGCCTCCGGATATGACTCTGAAGTATTTGATTTATTAACGTTTAAGGTTATATATCCTGTCACTGCGGTTGTCAAATTTCTTTCTTTTTTTTTTTGATAGAAAATGCCCTGAGTCAGAAAGAATTATGCACAGAGGGATAAGAAATGTGAACAGCCTGGATGGACGATTGATAAGCTTAATATTGAATGCTCATCAAAGTCGAAAAAATGCTGAAAAAAAAATATTCTTAACGACATTTAACAAAAACTAAGAAATTTTCCTTAAGCGAAATAACAATAAAAGTTTAAAGAAGTGAACAACATTTTTTCTTTTTTCCAATTTTCTATTTTAATAGCTCTGAAAACTTTAATGCTTCCTTTTATGTCAGCAGCTAACTCGACTGGCATTTCTTTTGGTGTTACTAAATTGTTTGCTATCTTTCTTTCATTTTTGTTGCAGTCTGCAAGGACCAAAGACGAGTCTCGTTTTCGTTCTACACTGTAAGTTAAGAAGGCAGGTGAAGCACTTTAAGATTTGACTCTGACGTACGGAACGTCGATGGCTGATCTCGTTCGAAAGTGAAACATACGATTCCGAATGAGATCGAGTAACGGGCTGACAACACCGAAGATTCGACGAAAGCTATCCTCAATGTTTTGTCCTTCTTTTGGATTTAGATTTCAACTTGACCAGATCAGACGTGCGCTCACCTCCGTCCTTGGAGGACGATACTCTTGTAAAAGTTAACGTGTGAATCCATAAAAAAACTGAAGGGAGTTTTAGAAGTGCTAAGAGTTATTAACTGGTATTGTAAAGAAGGACCTAGTTAGGCACACAAATTCTAATCTGAATAAACGTAGAAGAGTAGCTACCATCCCAATAAGAAAATTTTCTTATAAAAACCTTGGCTTACTCACTAAGTGTTACACTAGCATAGCTAAACAGACGATAAGGTAAAATTTAACATCGAAGGAAAAATTCTACGTCCCTACAAGTCTTCTTGCCCAAATACTTGTGTATTCACCTTCGCAGTCATATTGTTCGGGTTTTGTGCTCTGAAAGGTGGCTCATTCAGACTATAGCTTCATGTCTTTAAGATTTCTGTAAGAAGACTCACGTAAGAAGACGTCGCTACATCACCTCTCGCTGTTTCAAGATTACCGGAAATTGATTTCATCAGATTGTCATCGGTTACTTTATCAAGGAATAAATTTTGTGTAGCCGAACTGATGAGCATATTTCAGGCCGCAATAAACGCATTCCCTTTCAGCTTATAAACGTCACTCGTCATATTGAAAGCAAACAGCGTTTATAACCTATAGATAAAAATTAATATAAATAGTAGTCAAGAACGAAATTTATAGACAACACTCAATAATTTGTGCACAAATATTAAGTAGTAAGCGACAGAGTGAGGTTATGTCGTTTGCAATAAGTTTATTTGAATACTGTAATATTTAATTGAAATCAAGAGAAAATATAATCTTTAGCTTATTACTAGACAATGATTAATATTTTAAAGCTTATTTTTTAACATTTCATTCAGTTTATTTTACAATTCTTTTCTCACATTTAATTCGTAATATAATAATTATTATTATTTTCTCTGTCTCTCTCAATACAATTTTGATTTTCAATCTCGCGGTATAAGAGTATAATAATAAGTTTGCTTGAATGTGTGCAAACAGCTGCAAAAATTTCTGCTAGAATTATCTTTTATTATAAAGTGATTTTGAATCGATCTAAGCTTGTTTGTCCATCTGTCCAATCATTCATCTTGTTTTTCTCTGTTCATCTTACGAGATATTTTAATGCAATTTAAACCAAAGACAAACGGACAATTTCGAAGACAAATTGGAAATGATTCGGATTGGAATACTTTGTCTACCACTTCCTATATAAGGCCATAGATTGGAAAGTAACCGTATGAAGCGGTGTGATGTGGAGTGCTTAATGGTGGGCAGTGTCCTAATACGATATTTTATCTGTTAATCGTTTGTGTGTGTAAAGGTGAAGATACAGATCAAGCCGCGGCTCGAAGCTTACTGCTGCTTCCACGAAAGAGACTCACTCGCGTTTATATTTTTTACAAATTATTCTTATATTGCGGTCTTCTTCAAATATATGAGAAAAGGTGAAATTCTTTTTGAAAAAAATCTAATCAGTTGATAGTTTGATCAGGAAATTTATGTGAAATCGAAAGAAAATTTATCTACGTATGCACAATAAATTTAGGGAGTTTTCTTGTTAGTAAGAACTTCTCTGTAGGTTCTCTCATAAACATCTTTTATATGCTATAAGGTATGCTAACTTCCTTTTTTCTATACTATCTAAGCGAAGAAGCCAAGTCAAGAAAAAGTGGGTAATTGGCTTGCCAAATATGGCTTATTCGCCCGAAACTTTTTTAGAATGTAAAAAAATGAATGGGAAGGACAGATAGACTAGGTATTGAGAAAGTATTGACCAAGACCTAAGGCAGAGTATGCCTACCATTTGAAATTTGGAAGTACAAGATCTCATCGATGCAAAATTAACGCAAATTTTCCTTGCTTTGAATACTTGGACTTATGTGCCATAAGGATGGCTTGCGGGGCGTGTTACGGTGTATTGAAACATGGCAGGCGATCAAAAATGAATATGCTTCGATAATTCGAAGCGAAAACAAATAAAAAAACTTATAGTGAAGCTTGGCCTACCGTTGTTAGAAACCCTACTCCACTCCGCCTGAAACGAATATAACGAATATTCAAAATAAGGCCTTATACAGCAGAAGTTGAAGAAATGGTTTAATCCAAATCAATTTCAATATCGTTCAGACAAGCTTATCGCGATTCCGAAAGTCAGTGGGGATCAGCCGATTAAATACTTCTGCCTTGTAAAAACTTAATATATCTTTGCATCATAAGTGGTGTAGGGTATAAAAATGGATACAGCCTTTCTGCACAATGGCCTTAACTACGCGTAAAATGCTCTGATCTGCTCCAATTCATACAAAACCATAACTGAAGCTAATTTAATTAAAGAGACCTTTAAGGGCAAGATGACCAGAATGTCCCAGAAATGCCACCAACAACAACTGTTGCCATCAAGTCGATTATTAAACGAAGATGATCTTCTTGTACGAGCAGACGTTCTAGGTTGATTTTCTGGCATGGCATCGCTCGGATGTATATCGCATTAGTCTGGATATATGGAATTCGCATATGCTACCCCAACTGCTAAGTGCGCCATGCGATGCTTTTTCTGATTATCAATCGTTTCAGTCGTGATATTTCATAGCCTCTCTCTGTGAAGCACTTCCATTTTTACGATACTCAAGAAAAAGAGTAAATTCGGGCTTATTCCCAAGAGAAGAAATGTTCTTTGAACACGTCTAACGGTACACTAGACTTTGACTAAAGTGTAGTCGGTATCTTTTTTCAATTATCGCAAACAAATCTACGAAAATGAACGCACATCCTATGGTAAGAACGAAATGATGCAGCCGCTGTACATTCCAAAAGGCCAAGATGTGTACGCTCTATCCATATCTTAGCGGAGATTTTCACAAGACGCTTGCACCATTCTCAGAGCTATCTAATAAAAATCTGGTCAAATCGCTTTCAAAAGCATTTAAATCCGAAGCTATCAGTTGCGGTGAGTATAAACGCATATTCTGTAATTGTTGCGTTGGAGATAGCGAAATACTATTGTCATCGGAAACGCTTTTGCAATTTTCGTTAGCCGTAATACCTAGTTTCTGACAGGATTCTGCAACCATTTCATCAATAATTTTGATTGGAAGTAAAACGTCTTGACGTTTTTCAATGATTTCCGTTATTTCAGCACTTGTAGGTGAATTTTGCAAATGGTTGAAATGGGCGGTTTCGCCTCCGTCTTTAAATATTGTATTGTTTATGGTAATACGTTGTGATGATGTAGCAACAGAAGAATTTTCCTCTAAAAATGCTTTAATAAAATTCTCTGATATATCATCTAATGTAGTCGCAATTTTGTTCCCGTCTTCGTTTGATGATTGACATTTATGCGTGCGTTGGGACACTTTATAACGGAAGCTCTTCTGGCATAATTCACATTTGTAGGGCATTACTCCGGTATGAATTCGTGTATGTACCAGAAATGAAACTCGTTGACGGAAACATTTTCCTAAACAGAAAGAAAGAATATTTTTTATTTTAAGCCACTTACACTCCATCTTATTGATTCTAAGTATTATTCCGTAATGAAATTTTGATCCTTCAAGATCAACGCTGATGTATATAGTTCTTCGGGGAATTTTTCGAGAGACATCTTTAAGGCATACACATACCAGTGGTTATCCCCATGCTGAGCAAAAAGTCGTACATGACCTTAGTATTAACAAAACATTCGAATTCAATGACAAATTTCATTCACTATTGACAAAAAAGTCGGACATAACCTCGATATTGACAAAAAATCAGCCATAACCCCTATTGACAAAGAGTAGGACATAACTTAAGTACTAGTAAAAAGTCGAATATAGCCCCAATATCGGACATAAACCCAATATTGACAAAAAATCGGAACATAACCTCAATATTGACAAAGAATCAGACATAACTCCAGTATCGACAAAAAATTTAATATAACCCTACTATTATCAAAAAAAAGTCGGACATAATATCAATATTGACAAAAAATAACCTCAAAATGAACAAAAAAGTCGGACATAATCTTAATATTGAGAAAAATTCGAATATAACAAAGTTCCGGACATAACCTCAATGTTGGTAAAAAAGTGAATAAAACTTAACAAAAAAAAAAACCAACATAACACATTTGCTTCTAGTTTCATTACAGATTTATGCATAAACGTCGCAATTTTTTTTTCTTCTGTTTCAATGCTAGCTTACCGCATACTTCACATTTAAATGGTTTCTCCCCGCTGTGAATCCGCTCATGATTGTGTAATGTTGACAATTCTTTAAACGCTCGACCACACGTATGGCAGACATGTGGCTTCTCATCACTATGATATAATAAATGTTTATGATAAGATTGCTGGAAGGTAAAGGTGCGAGCACATATCTCACAAGTGTAGGGCATCTCACCTAAAGGGATTATTTTAAAACGTCGACTTTATAGCATTTTTGTTTTATAGATTAAATATCATAGGTTCTTATTACCGGTATGTAGGCGTTTATGTTTTTTAAGAAAATATTTTGTAGTGAAACTTTTCGAGCATACTTCGCAATCCCAAATTTTCGGATTTTCCAAACTTGATAGGCTGTTATTACAATTGTTCGATTTTGATTGCAATTCTTTGCTCTCGTGATTTTGAGTAAGCGCCATTATACTATCGGAGTCAGGGTTGCTGTTAACTCTACTCTCAGATTCTGACTCGAGAGAGTTATCCCTTGGACAAATGGATGAAATATTCTGAGCAAGCTGTAAATTGGGAAATGGTTTGAAGACAATTGAAGCGTTTTCACCTTGATATCGGTTATGATTAAAATTCGAAGTATTGCTAGGAGGAGTTCTTATTAAGATCGAGGCACTTGATTGCTTATTACTGTTATTGAATTTCGTTTGGGTTATATTAATCGCTTTTAAACGTATACGATCACAGATATTTAATTTATTCGTCGAATTGCCATATGGTAGACCCACTAAATGCACCACTTTTAAATGAACCCTTAGAGAACCTTTCATTTTAAAAGTCTTTGCACATAAATGACATTTAAAATCAAGTCCACCATTTAATTGCTCACTGTTAATATCATTTTCGGTATTATTTATATTACAAGATGATTGTAATGTTGCGTATTGTGGTGGTAAGTTTTGATGGACTAACTTAATATGCATGTCTCTTAAATTTTGATTACGAAACGTAAATTCACAAATATCGCATGTAGCCAGATTTTCATCAGTATTTAATCCGGTCATTAATTCTTCTTCTTCTTCTTCTTCGTCTTCTGCTCGATGTTCTTGTTCATTTTTCTGTTGTGATCGTTGTTTTACCACAGCAGCTGACGACAATGACTGGGGAATATTTTTATAATTCAACTCAAGATCTAATTGCTTTTCTTCGTTTTCTTTTCTTAAGGCAAACGACGACGAAGAATGCCCAAGCGTCGCATTTGCTATTTTATTGATTGAGGTGGGCGTCTCCTCCTGCAATGCTATATTATTTATAAGATTCGTTGTATGACTAAAAAGGTGTATCGTCAATTTATCTAAACCTAAAAACAACTCATGACAAATGGGACAAGATAACGGGCCATTTGCCGCTTTAATTAGACTGCAACGCAATGCATCTATACTTGAGAAATTTGTTTGAGCACATAATGGACATAGCAGTGACATTGAACACATTTTCTTGTAGATATGTTTTCAATTTTGAAATATTTAAAAAAAAAATAAATAAATAAAAATCAAATCAATTTTTTTAAAAACTTTTTTTCACTTTTTATATTTTCTTTACACTTTTCAAGATTATATAAACTTTAGAAGTATTGTTGTTTTTTTTTTTTTTTATTAAATATGTCTTCTCTTAAACATAACTATTTTGTTTTCTTTTTTTTGTTAATTATATTGTAGTTATTTATTTTGAAACAATCCCTTTAATGTATTCAAAAGTTTAATTGCACTTTTTTTTTTTTTTGCTGTAGAGCTCTAGAGCTTTTAAGCAAATTTTTGTGTTGATATTCTTTGCGGTCACTTGTACGCGAACGAAATGAACGCATTTTGTGTAAATTATTTGTTTCGTGTTTATTTTATTTTTTTTTATTTTTTTTTTTTTTCATTTTCTAAAAATATATATTTTTGAAAAAAGATGGAATAAAAATGAAAAATTCCCATTCACATATACGCACACAAGCGCGGGCAGGCACACACACATTCACACATTCAGTTCAGTAAATATTAGCAATGAGTGCGATGCTGCGATCCACCACCGTAGAGAATATATTAGATTCATCAAAAGTTTATAGCAACGAAAATCTCATAAATGATATACATATGTGTATATATTTATATATATGTATATTGTTGATCGGCTGCTCACGTCTTATTCCATCTTTTTGAAAGTAAGTGCAACATAACCTAACCTTTCGTCTTAAATTCATTAACATTTTTATCGATTCAAACTCGGTTCATATCGAGCAAAATTAAAATTTTCCTTCTTTTCGGTTCTTCACATCATTAGATAAAATGTGTAAAGATATTACACATTCATGGATATTCTTCCTAGATCGATCGCAGGCAGATTTTAGTTTATTTTATTTGAATGTGAAACTCTTCGCTTTTATATTCTACCATACTTGCGGTGCCGAGGTACATCAATTTTGCGCGGACACCCGGATGAATTTGAAATAGACCCATCTTTTAGTATACCGATCAATTCAAAATCACTTCCTAAATCGATCAAAGCTTTTATATCCATCTGTACGTCTCCGTTTTAAACTACGGTCAGCAATTTTTAAAATAGTTTGACGAAATTTGAAACACTGGCATGTGGCACTTTGTTAGCCTACGCCACTTGTGGTACAAAAGTATATTAGGTTTGTGCGAATGTGTGGGACACCCAAAAAGACTTGTGATAGAGCCAGCTTTCATTATACCGATCAATTCATAATCGCTTTTTGAGTTAAGTTTGTCTGCCCGTCTATTCGTCTCGTTTTTTCGTGTTCACTCAACAGATCGCAGGTATGGTTTGACAAATCTTACATGAATAAACTATACGACGGTATAGGATATTTAATGATGGACCGTGACTCACTATAGTGCCCTTACTAGTTTACATTAATCGCAAAGAAGACATATTGAAGTCTTAAAGCACTAGGATCTGGCATCTGCTTTATTGAAAAACTTGAAATTTAAAGTCAGAATCACGGAGTTTTTGATCGAGATCCTTGGTCTACTCGTCTACTCAAACGGAATACTTTGGATGACCTTTCGTCGTAGTCCAATCCAAGCGACTTAATATTTTTTACTACATCGCCCTTCGCAGGACGTTTTCTTGTGATTTTGATCCAGTGTATATAATCGACAACTCTTACAACCATCCCCATTTTATCGTTAAGCAACTAAGCAGTTTCTTTTAGGATACCTGCAGTTATACTTCCTATCGATTGTTTGACAACAAATACCGCAGTATAAAGACTAGCGCACGACAAGAAAAAGATCGCACAAATAGGACATGCGAGGACATAAACTGCGAATCGCCATTTAATGTTTGTCCTCGAATCATAAATGCTATATATGCTCTTGTGTTATGTGTGATCATATATATTTATAAACCAAAAATATATAAAGAATAAAATCACTTCAACAATAGTTTCACCTTTTATTAAGTAACAATCAGTTTTAAGTACTTACCTGCCTACAACATTTTTTTAGTTAGAAAAACCATTCTTCGATTCCCTCATCGATAAAAGAATAAGAATTGTAAAGATGAATAAGAAAAAATTGCGCGTTAATCCTAAATACCAATATATTTTCCGTTTTTTTTTTTTTTGTTCTCTGTACATTTTCTTTTCTAATGCGTATTTTTGCAACCGTGTCATCTTTCATATTAAGTAGAAAAAATAAAATTTTCTTCTAAACAATTTTTCTAATAATCTTCTATTTACGTGCTCCTGCTTTTTTTACTCTTTGTTTTCTTTTCAGTACCATTGTTATTGTTGAAAGTACTTCTTTTTAAGGCCTTCACCCTACTTGCACGTTTTAAATCGATTTAAACCTACATCTGATTATATTTTTGCTAAATTTTAACAATAAGGGACAAATGTCGATTTAGCCTTGTATGACGCGTACATTGAAATTGTTTTCCGTCGTTTTAGCGTTTCCAATGAAAAAACAAGCCAAAAAGTTTTTCATATAATGAAATGTGAAAGTAAAACCGCGGTGATAAAAACATGCTTTACTGTGCTTTCTATCATACTGGTAGTCGATGTGGCAACATTGGAAATTGTATGCTATCATATCGATATATTTTGTTAAATTTAACAGTTTTTTTCACAAGTATGTTTTTGTTAGGCGAGTCGGAAGTACGTGGCAGGCACTCGCGGGCGTTCAGACTTCACTGATTTGTGGAAAAATCATTGAGAAATTTTTGTCGGTTGATGTTTTCTGATTTTAATTATTCTCAGTATTAATTTTTTTGATGAGAAGAGGGGAGGGGAAGTGTAGACTTATATGCCAAGATATTTTTCTCGTTAGACGATTATTATTAGTTTTATATAAATTTTTAATTTTTTTTTTGTTTTAGGAGGGTGCAGAGCGGCCCGGTGGCATGGTCTTATAGTCTGAATGATGCGATTAGTTTGGGGTTGAATTATTTCAAGACTTTTTGTTTTGTAGCAATAACGTAATGAAAATTCGCTGGAGAAAAATTCCTCGATATTTTCTAACGAAGTACAATTACATTTATAGCCATACTTCACTGTTCGCTACATATTTATATATATTATTATTATTATTATTTTAATTTTAGACTAATGAAATGAATTCTTAGACTAAAAAAAGGACATTGAGCACTAGCAACACAGGCTATCGGCTCTATTTATATATAAAACAATAAATCCTCAATTGAAATATTTGATGAAGAAGTTGAAAAACGTGGGTTGAAAAGTGCCGTTGCGTTAAGTTAGGTAGAAATATGGGCCTTTTTGGATCCTTTTTTTTCAAATGTGAATGGAACCGACAAGTATAGGGTTTAAATTTTTATTTAATTTTGTTTTCATTTATTTACTGTTCTTTAATGTTTTCTTTTTTTTTCTTTATATTTCTTTATTTATAATAAATTTAGTATATTTTCTGACAACTTATTTATTTATGTATATTTTTTATTTTTTTAAAATAATTCACACATTTATACGAGAGAATATACCTATATGAATAATTTATGTATATATTTATATATAGGTTTACGTGTATTGTTGTTTATATATGTATGTACGCATGTATGTATGTATTTTATGTATATGTAGTAGCTATGAAAAAGTTATGCAAAAATTTTGTTTTTCATTACTTTTTTTTTTTTGTTATTAAACATTTAATTAAGCTTAGAAATTATTGCAAATTGTGGAGCGTATGTGTTGAAATGAGCTGAAAAATTAAATTGTTTTCTCTTTTTTTTCTTTAGTTTAATATTATTATTTAATCTACTACCCCCTACAGTTATTGTTGTTAAGCATTTACTATTTGTAAACTAAAACGAAGTTTTTTAAACACATTCTCATATTATATATATATATATATGTATACACACATACATATATATACATATATATATATATATATATACGTTTATATTAATTTTGAATTTTTTTTTTGTAAGATTTTCATTACCTTCTACTCTTTATTTTATAGTTAATATATATAATAACTACTCTACTACCATACAATCTAGGTCGTGGTGGTGCCTTAAAGAAAACCTTTACTTTCTTTTTTTTTTTAATTTGGAAATTAAGCAAAATTAAAGCTTATATCAACATATTACAAAAGAAGAAAAATTACAATAAAAATTAAATCTTTTGAAAACTCGAATGACGAAATTATAAAAAAAAAAAAAAAATACATTTATACATTTATATATATTAAACCTAAAAACAAAAAAGAAAACAAAAGACACTAACAGTGGTAAAAGCATTTAAACGATTTTTAAAAAAACTTAATAGTTGCACAGGAAAACCTCGCCATGCAAAACTTTGTGTGTTGTCTCAAAAGAGAAAAAGTAGCTGCAGCTTCACCTAAATAATCATTACGTTTTTTTTTTTTTAGTTTAATATACTCATACGGTTCTATGCTTTTCTGCCTCTTCTGTTTTTCTTATTGGTTTTCCTTTCTCTCTTCGTAGCTTTTTTTTTTTTTCTAAACCTTTACTAGATACTTATAAATTTATTAGCACACATTTATGGAGAAACAAAAAAAAAAAAAAATTGCGCTCTTAAAAAAATTGTTTTTTTTTTTTTTACATTTATCACTATGTTATAGGTGAATCCTTCATTGATTCTAAGAATAATAAGTAATAAGCAAAGGTTGTTGTAGTTGATTATGTTACCTCCTGCAAGCATACAATGTTATATGCGTTTATTTATTAGTTTATTTTTAGTAAGTTGTTGTTTAGCAAATGCTTTCGTATGCCTTTCATTTTTCCTTTAATAATTTTAATTGCGTATGTGTGTGTTCTTGCTTTTAATCAACATTTACTTATGTCATGTCTTTTAAGCTTTCTCTTTTTGCTTTTTTTATGCCTTAAGAATTAAACACAAACGACATTTTTTTTTTTATCTATTTCATATGATTGCATATTTATATATACGTATATATTCTTTGTTTTTGTTTTGTTTTTTTTTTTTCATTCGTATTGAAAATGATTTTCTTTCTTTTCTCAAGTTTTTTTCTTTGCAATACAAAAAAATCAACCAAAAAAAGAAAAAAAGGATTTTTTAAATATGTGCGTATATCTGTGTTAGAATTACTACTATCCCCCTTTTTCTTGTTTATGATAAATGGAACGACATGCTACCCTCATTGGCAGCGACTTTTAATTTAAGACGCATTACCTCGCGACTTGAATAGTCAGGTAGTTTTAAATAATTAACGCATGTCATTACTGAAGGCAAGTAATCATTCGGATTTTGATTGTTATCCAGTGTTTTGCGTACAATGGTCAGCGCAGGACTAAGAGCTTTAAAGCCACCGGTCGGTAAACGTGGCGATCCCGTAACAAATTGCAAAAATAAACGTTGCTCATCTCGCGTATAGGTTGAGAGAATATCGTACAGATATTTAATGGCCTGAGAATCTTGTGTGAAACCATGATCGGTCCGGCAACTTTCTTGCAACATTTTTACATCCCATCGTTGATAACAATTATTTCCACTACCGCAGAAGACATTCTCCAATTCTTCCGGATAAAACATACGTAAACGTTGTACAGGAAATATTGAATCGAATCCTATTAAAGAACACGAAATACAATGCAATTTTTAATTCAATTATTAAGATTAAAAATTTTCAATTCAAGTTTTCTTTCAATTGAAAAATTCACTTGGGAGGGTTCATTGCTATCTGCGTTCTACCAAACCATGATTTGCTACTTTGCTCTGTTAGGAGCATATTTAGCATCGGCTATATATCATTATATTCTGGTAAGTTAAGCTTTTCGCTCTATTATGGACGGCTTCCTTTTTAAAACTCGATTTATGCCTATAAACTAAACGCCCGTACCATAAGCGTTCCAAAAACTAAAGACAGATGGACGGACGACGATAACTCAAACCGAAATCTCATATCCATCAAGAATACGTCGTTTTATTGGTTTATAAAAAAGCTTCCTTCTTTCTCCTTATTTCCCCCTCACCTTAGAGTGCTACACCCGAACTAAAGATAATTTATAAGAAGCGCAAAATAAATATTTTAACGTGAGTGCACTAATTAACGGATTACTTTTTGCAGAGTTTTATGCAAGGTTCCACACTAGTGTCTCTATGGAACAAAGAAGACTATTTTTATTATGAAGGTGTTACTTATTCAATTATTGTGTTCTCTTGATAATGGACATCGGAACGAAAGTGTTCCGGCAACTATATAGTCGATTTTTAATAAGATTTCTTACCTTCTCTTAGAGCTTCAAATTGCTTTTGAACACCTTCCACCAGGAACCAGTAGGTGACGAGACTAATGTACTGATGTAGGTTATGTATGGTTACTGTAGTATCTCGTCCACCTCGGCACAATTCAATATTAGCATGACCGGGTAAAACGAAGTCTAGACCTAGGTCGGATATTGGGCATCCATCGAGATCTAATGATTCAACCTAATTTTGTAAAGAGAACAAAAACACAGCATTTACCATATTTCACTGAAAAATTGAGAAATGCTATGTAATTTACTTTTTCAGTCTTTTCCATAGCATCCAAGCCGTTGTCGATTAAAATTGTATCACGTTGATGCACGACATCTTGTAAACGTACTAAGGTGGATTGTACTTCCGGTGCTACACGAGCCAAATCAGATAAGCCTACATAAGATTCTTCGCTTAGTAGCCAACGATAGAAGGGTATGGAGAAGGGTAAATCCAACTAATAAAAAAAAAAATCAAAATTGTGGTTATATATATTCAATACTGTCAAAGTTTTTAAAATAGTACCATACGACTATCCATAACAGCTTTGGCCATAAATTTGCCCAGAAATTTGAATTTCGACTTGACTCGAGAGACTTGTGGTAATTTCGACGATTTACCTATGGGTAAAGGAAACAAACCGTAGATAGAATTAACATATGTTATTGAAGGTGTTGGCGAAATAGCTATTGGACTATGTTGGATTGGTGTGTTGCTCTCTAATAAAGGCATAGAGGGACCACCCGTCGATTGTTGTTGCTGCTGATGATCTCCACCTTGTTGTTCAATCAACATGTCAAAAATTTCATCAGCTAAGAGTTGCTGAGACAAATGTTGCTGTTCCTGTTGCTGGTGGTTATTGGCATTTGATAAATTTTGATTCTGACGTACAGAACCGACTCCGCCTCCATTATCAACTCGGTTGCTACGACTATTGCTACGTGTAGCAGTGCCTGATGTAGCGCTGGTAGGTGGACTGACTGTCGTATGGTTCGTTGTATTTGTGGTGGTGTTACTAGCCTGATTGTCACCCACAACGGAAGATTGCGGCTCATCTATATGCAGAGTAGCTGATGTCGATTTGACTACATCTGCTATAGTTGCTGAATTTTGCTTGTAGCTATCACCTCCATTCCAGAGACTTAAATCGCAACGCTGTAATTCGGCCGACACTAAAGCATAAAATTCCAGCGTGGGTCCTAACCCAGTACCAACCTAAAATTAAGCAATATAATCTTTTAGACTCACTTGTAATTGAACTTTTTTTTTTTTAAAACTCACCTCGTTTTCGTATTGAATTTCGAGCAGGGCTCTTGAGTGGCCAAACTCTTGCATGACATGTTCCGCTTGTTTTAGAATATCTTGACGGGAGATGGCCCGTTTACGGCGATCTAGACGTGGTGCTACTCTCTCCGATGATTCGGCTGAATTTAAGTCGGGAGTAGCATCTAACAAACGTTGCAAAGCTCGGTCTCTATCGAAACTAGTAGCATAGAATAGCAAGTGTCGCGTTTCGAAAGGAAATAAGAAAGGACAGGCCATTCCGATTTGTGGCAGCCACTGCGGTAAATTGCCAGTCATAATAACGAGTGGATCTTGTAGTTGACGGTTAGCTTTGGCCGTGATTTTTGAATGTATAAATTCAGCTTGATTTACGATAGGTTGGCGTTGGACACAGCCATATAAGTGCTCCCAATAACGATTAAGAGCATTAATAATTCGTAGCATGCAGAGGGCATCAAGTGATGCATCTTGAACCGAAGTAACTACATCAGCAGGCAGTGTTTTAGCAAGGAATGGCTTCAAAGCTGAAATCACGGGAGGGGCTATGCCTTCGTGCCACAACTCTGTTTTCTTGCGCAACAATTTCGATGATGATTTACTACTCTTCTTAGGCATTGATGATGAAGATGAGCTAGAAGCCCCAGAATTACTGGTCGTTGGGGCTGATGATGACGATGAGCTAGGTGCGGTGCTAGTGAGGTTAGATTTACAATTAATGCCACTGCTTGAACTGCCCACAGATATATCCTCTTCGACGGGACGATAGTATATGGTATGCTGTTGGACCCACACACTAGCATTGCCTATATTAAAACATTAAAATTATCATTATTATATTATTTTTTACCAAATTTTTTATCTTTACCTAATGGCGTTTCAGTATCAGTATCGGTTTCCGATTGATCGTTAGCCATAGGAGAATATTGTTTGACGGCTTGATAAACAGTCATATTATAGGGCAAAACATGATCTCCGATTAAAAATTGCAATTTGTGTTTAAATCCGCTCTGTGACATGACAACTGCGGCAACATTGTCATCCATATCCTCTTCAGAGTCATCGTCGGAATCGCCGCGTATTCCACCATAACCGCGTATCACTAAATAACGTTCAATAGCCTGTACCATTGCAAGAGGGTCGATTTTAACTGTGCCTCCTTTCCATTGACGTAAATTATTGCAATCAGGATGACGTTGTAAGTTGCACTGAAAAAAAATCAATGAACATTGGAATTCTTGACTGAACGTTCCACTCACCTTCAACTGATGCGTATTGAAGAACTTCAAAGCACTTGTGTTGGAACGTCCCCCACCAGGACCAGCCGGAAAATCATGCACTTTCACAGGGAATTGCTCCAATTGCGTAACGCAAGCATTAAGTTTGGAAACAAATGCGGAAAACGCTGCAGGATCTATTTGAGGCAAATTGCTGACTTTACTCATGGGCTCTAAAGGAAGACCAGCGAAAACGTGCATAAAACTGCGCAAACGCACCTCTCGCTCTACCACACCTTCTTCGGCGGTCATATAATTTAGCATAGCCTTAATTAGCCCCGAATGGTTGACTTCAAAGGGCGAGATGTCGCTTTCTAAGAGAATTGTCTTTAGTTCTATCAATGCGTCTAAACAGTTCGTAGGACTGCCGCAGAGTTTATCAATGACGGAGGTGAGGCTTTGCAACACGTTGGCACTATTGCGTGAGCCCTCTACACTTCCCGCAATTTTGCAACTGTCTTGGGAGGCATAACGTTTAATAAAGTTTATAGCTTGTTCCCGCACCCATTGCCGTGCCTTTTCACGATTACCCGCTGCTATCAGATTAGCTTGAGAAATACTTTTGCTTAAATGTTGGGCTGCTAAACTGCTGCCACCCATATTATGGCTGGCGCTTGACCCTGAACCGCTGGGATTTTGTGGGACCGAACTGTTACTGCTGTGAGCATCTTTAGCGAACCCACTACCCGTAGATGAATTGTGCTGAGATCCTTGGCGTCCCCAACGGGCCGGGTTGAGCGAGGCTAAAAAGGATGTAGTCTTTGTTGTTCCAGATGTCGAACTGTGATGAGTGCCGCTTCCAGTACCTCCGCTACCGCCACTAAACCGTGATTTTGAACTGCTAGGCGTATTACGACCCGCTGCATTGCTACTGTTACCACTACCGCATCCTCCTCCTAGTCCGGTAGCTCTACTGAGTAAATCGTGCATTGCCGAGGTAGAAGTGGTTGCAGCCGCTGCTCCAGTTGCTGCTGCTGAAGACCCACTACCATCATCCTGTCGCGTTTTCGAACGACTGCTCGACTGAGATTTCCTTTTCGGTGGTACCTTACGTTTAAGCATGTCGCTCATTTTATGTTGCAGCGCCGAAGTAGATGTAGGTGGAGGTGCAGATGAACTTGCTGATGCCATACCTATAGTTTGATAATGTGGTGGTGGACCATTTGAATTCTGCCCGCCGCCTTGTGAATACTGTGACGTTAAAGGCGGAGGTGGTGATAGTTGATTAAATGCTGCATATTGTTGTTCAGATCCGCTTCCCACTGTAGGCGGGGGTGGTACCGTTTGATTTGCATTTCCAGTGTAAACAAAATAGCTTTGTTGCTGTCCTTGCGAATGATGATGATGATGGCTCGTGTGATGCTGCTGCTGTTGTGGTGTCATTTGCGTATGGGCCGGAGCGGAACTGCTGTATTGAAAATGCACATCAGATGACGTGGAAGCCGATCCACTTGCTGCATTTATGTTCAGAGCCATTGACGTGGGCATAGCACCAACTTTTTGATTACTGCTCTGATTATTTCCCCCACCGCTGGTAGCAGCTGCTGTTAAAGCATTCATAGCATGTGAAAAGCTCTTCATGGTATAAGGATGCTGTTGATGGCTATGTGATCCAGTTTTTGATGTGTTAGGCGTAGCAGAGGCTGAAGAGCTGTTACCTCCTTGCTGACCTACCGCAATTGCGTTATCTATAAAGAAGGGATTCATTTGCAGACTAGACGCTGAGGCAGGTGCACTTTGAGAACCATTGGCACTCATATTCGCAGCCAACGGTTTAGGTGAAGGATTGGCACAAATAGGATGATTGGGATCGGTAAGCTGCGTGATTTGATATATAACGCCTTCACGCCGAAAGTGCATACCAAAAACGTCAGGCAATTTTTGCATGAGTATTTCAGCCATTTGAAGAGCCCCCACTACAATACGCAAATCATTGCTGCCCAGCATCCCTGCTATATGACTGGAAACCAATTGGTATTTCAGTACGTCGCTTAGCAGCTCCGGTGAAGCATAATAAACCATACGCAACAAAGCTCTTAGGCACTTGTAGCGAACATTGGGACCAGCCGACGAACTGTAAACTTCATACAGAACATTAAACAAGTTCTTAATAAATTCAGCTGCTAAACCACGTTCTTCCTTCAAGCAAGCAATGCGGGAATCAACAGAGGGACGACGTTTTTGCGATATCCCGCTGGGAGGCGCTATACCGGCTGTGGCGGCAGCTGCTACTGTTGTACTCAAGGCGGTAATGGCTGTAGCTACGGCAGAAGTTGTCAAATCCTGACCGGTATTATTTGAAAGTGTATTGGCGGGTGGCGGTGGAGGCGGCACGTAGTTAGGATTCACTTTGCGTTGAACTTGTCTTGCAGTGCCTGTGTCTTCATTTATTTGCTGCATTGAGTGAAAATCCACAGTATATGTACGGCCCAATGTACTTAAACTAAATTCATCCTCTGAATTTAAATGGGCTGCTTCAATCATGCGCGAATCTATGGTTGAATAATTATGCCAAGTGCCGCGATCGTCACGCCATTGCCATTGCACTTGATCCTGAGTGTTGATGGTGGGACGATCGAGTAAAGCGTCAACCACAAAAATGCCGTCTGTAGGCAGACGCGGCATTAATTCCCCTATCAGGCAGGTAATTTCATATAATTCCGAAGGTGATCGCGATACGAGTTCTACATGATTAGCGATCGAAATCGACGATAATTCGGCGTTTCCGGTCAGCAAATACAACAGTGTGGCGGCTATGTCACTCTTTAACAAAGATATAGCCAAATCGGGGCAATTGGCACACATCAAGCTAAGCATACGTACTACAGCCGTAAAAGTACCCGAATTGAGAAGAGCCGGTGTAACCACCAGGAGCTGTTGACAATTCTTTAATAAATCTTTACTCGCTATTTCCTGCAAACGCTTTGGATCATACTGGAAGCTCTCGACCAAACGGCAAAAAGCTGAACAAACACTTTCTACGCATTTTTTATCTTGCTGAGCCAAGAGGCGGGCTAAGAGAGGTAAACTTTCCGATACAAAATGAAATTCTTCAGGATGTAAATTTAAGCAGCAATTTGCTGTAATGGCTAAAGCGGCTCGTTGAGCGTTAATTGAAAAAAAATCTAGATATGTGAGGCAGGCCGATATACCATTAGCCTGTAATATGGCTTTATTATGGCGACGTGACAATATCTCCAGAGCGCTTAAACTTTGTTCAGCCACGTCCATGCATTGAATAACTTGTAATTTTTCTAAGAAAACCGGAACGGCTTCGACTACTGTTCCCGACGAACGAGGCAAAGCTTCCAACATATAAGCCAACGCACGGCAAGCATTATTCATAATATCGAAATTATGCTCCATACGCAACAATGTAATTAAAGCTGGCACCACTTGTTTTATGGGGAAACCAGCCAAAGTGTCCTCGTTGCCCATGACAAGCATTTGGCACATTTCAATGGCTGCTTGCAGTTGTTGACTTTCGTCATGCGATTGTAAACCTTGTAATAATTGCTGCGCTTTCGACGAGCTGCCATTACCAATCGTTCGATGCAAGATATGTGTCATACGAGGTCCCAAGGCACCGAATAAATGAGGCGGCAAGCCTCGGGCTTCCAATAAAGCCTGTAAACGTCCCACTTCGCTGTCATCGCTCTCCGAGTCGCCATGCGAATTCGAATTTGCCGTATTGCTCGTCGTCGTTGTCGTCGTTGTATTGCTACCGCTTGCACTACCGTTCGCTGTTGCCGGTACAGAGGAGCTAGCTACAGTTGATGCACTAACTGTATTGCTGTTCGAAGACGTCGTGCCACGTAAAACGTTAGCAACAGCTAAGGATGCTAAATTTAAAAAAAAAAAAATATATATATATATGCATATATAATTATGAAAAGTAATTCTTTTTTTTTTTTTCTTTCCTTCAATATTAAAATGAATATAAAACATTTAGATTACAAAATGTTGGGGGGAATCGTGTATAAATTGTGGTAAAAAAAAAAAAATCATGAAAGCCTTTAAAGAAAAAAATTTTGAAAAATATACATATTTCTTACAAATAAATTTCTGCCATATTTAAATTTTATGCAATTTTATGCGACATACATACAATGAGTATGAATAAAATGTACGCCACCTTTCACGCTACATCGTGCAGTCTTAGAGTAATTCTCTGTGCGTAATGCCATTTACTATCTTTTGATTTCAACGGAGAATTATACACCAAAGTCAACCAAATCGAAGGTTAAAACCGTAAGCCAAAGTCATATATCACGTAAGATTGCGCCTAAAAATTAAGTCCACAATATTCCAATTATGCGCGAACATATCGAATATCAGGAATTTTTTTTTTTTTTTTTTTTGCCTAAACCATTAGCACTGTCACAGACACCAGTGGGGAAATGATTTCTGAGTATCGGTCAGGTGAAAGGCATTATGACTAGATATAAGACTTGGACCTACGCATACGATCTGGAAAAACCAATCAATCCAGCGAATATCGTGCAAAAGGTTAGCCAAGAAAGGAAAGTCGATCAAAACTGAAGGTGATGTTAATAGTTTCCCTCGATTATCGTGATGTTGTCCACTACGCGTTCCTTTCGCCCAGCCAAACTGTTAATCAGCAATATTATGCATCGTTTGTGTGAAGCAGTGCGCAAACACAGAAAGGAATTCTGAGGAAAGACAAGTCTTAACTTGGATCTTCGAGACTACTCTGCTTCAAAATCAAATCATATTGTTTCACAACCACAGTATTCACCTGATTTAACCCCATGTAATTTCTGGTTTTTCTTTAAACTCGAAAAGCATGGTCAGAGGACACCGTTTTGACTCGATTGAAGAGATACACGCTGAAGCGAAGAAAGCCGTTAAAGGCCATTCCGAAAATCTACTACAACAATTGTGTCGAATCGATTAAGAAAAATTAGGGACTTTGCTAATGCTGTTGGCAATTCAAACGTATCGGTCAACAAAATTTGAAAAGATATTTTGGACCTGAAATATGTCAAATTTCGAATGGTACCGAGAACTCTGTATTGGTTGTTAGTCCATACTGTTCGACAACTACAGTATTCACCTGATTTAACCCTTATTCCATAAACTCGAAAAGATCGGTCCGGGGACTTCATTGAAGAGATTGAAGAGAGCTGAATCAAAGAAAGCTTCTGAAGGCCATTCCGGAAATCGACTATAACGAGTTTTATTATAAGGATTGGAAAAAAACATTGGTGTATTGCATCTAAGAGGGTTATTTCGAAGACGGCAAAGATAGGTTTAGGAATTAAAAAGGAAAAAATATGAACTGGTCTTTCTTTTTTGAGAAAGTAGTGTACAAGAAAATTAAAAAAATCAGTTGCAGTTCAATTTCAGAATTCCTCATCTTAGGAACTTAATCTTGTGATTGTCAACCTCAATGCGGACTTAGGCTAGGCAAAACGAAATTCGCTAAGACAAATCAAGCTTTTTTGTGAAGATTTCTTAACTCCTTGCACTCCGTAGGCGCCGCTATTGCGCCAGTGCTGTCAGTGCACTAACTCCGTAGGCGCCGCTATTGCGCCATATGCTTTCGTTGCACTAACTCTATCGGTGCAGCTACTGCGTAGTTTCGATTCAATGACTAGCGAATTTTGAATTTTATTTTATAATAGATAGATTAACCCACATGCAAGCAGGAGATTATTGGGAAAGCTTCGAGATCAGAGAAAACGAAAGTGATAATGAAATTGATATTGAATTTTTTGTAGGAAATTTAGTTCAATTCAAAGGGAGAATAGTTGCTTTCATCATGTATAATCCTAACAAACCTACAAAATGGGGTATAAAAATTTTTGTGGTAGCAGATTCAGAAACGGCTTCCCTATTCCGGCATTATAACTTCTGAAAATCTTGTTAGTTCTGATTTACCAATAAGAACAAGAATTCCGTTACATCTTTTTCAATAAATAATAGATTAAATAACTACACCGCAGAGGGATGCCACCTGTACACGGACAGGTATTACACCAGCTTACCTTTAGCTAAGGAATTAATGCAAATGAAATGCCACCTAACTGGTACTATTCAAATCAACAGAAAAGGTGTTCCTGCTACTATAAACAAAACCAAAATTTTTAAATAGAACAACTGCTGCTAAAAGAAAAGGAAATATATAACACTGTTAGCTTGGAAGCATAAAAGGGTTGTTACTTTATTGAGTACTTGGAATAATACTGGAATGACATCTACCAAGAGATATATTCGAGGTGGGTCAGAAGTAATAGTTAGTAAACCTAACGTAGTGTTCGACTACACACATTCAATGGGTGGTGTAGGTCGCGCTGATCAGTTTTCTTAAATATCATAACTAAGTTGAATTACAAAATACAAATATCAAATTGTATTTCTATTATCACAAACTACATTAATTAAATAAATAAATTTATAGCAACAGATCTTATTTTTTTTTAGTACAACAGAATTTCATCTTGCAGATGCTCCAACGCAAAAATGTCACGGAGTTGTTGCACTTTTGGGTAAAAAAACACTCAGAGTGCAAAGGGTAAAATATTAATAATTTGAATGATTGATTGATTATAGGCTATCAGAAGGACTGTCGACCATTGTCATTGTCTTTTCAAAATTTGGTATAGATAATTCCCCAAGAGGAAGTTTGGATGCATTGTTTTCACTTCTAGCTGTTTTTACTTATCACGGAATTTTTAATACTACCGATGACTGAGATTTAGCTCTCTTGTCGTCAACACTTGCGGTTGGCTTGGTAATGCACAGTCAGCTGTTATTTAATATTGAGACCCGCAATCACTAGTTGCTTGGCTCTATAAGCCTTCACAAAGTCGGCGCCAAGGAAGATCTGTGGTCGGTCGGTAAAGTGCTTATAAGAAATGTGACCACGCCTTGTCAGAAACGAGATAAATATATATATATAAAAAAAACCCTGCCAATTTGCTATGATTTTGGAAGAAATTCATTGTTTTCATCATACGAACAAATATTAAACCTATTTCTTTAGTTTATTTCATATTCTAACACTAATCTTATAAAATATTTTTCATATCTAGCGATGGGGAAATTTAGATTTGTTTCCTTAAAGGCTTTCTTTTCTCTTGTTGTAGTGCTTGCAGATAACCTGTAGGTTTGAACACAAAATTACATGGGCCGACATCAGACCGACACAATTGGAAATTTTTATCGTGTATCTGTTGTAATGAGCAAAAACCCACAAAGTGGCGATGTTCTCAGTTCATGTTAGATTGCAGGTGTGCTCTCTGAATTTTAACAATTTCTATACAGGGTGCAACTCTCTATTTTTCCATGATTTGCCAAAGAATGCTCAACTCAAATGTAAATTTTAATAGGAACATGGGATAAAATACCCATTATATTAAGTTTAAACATATAAAAATACTATAGCTAGCATTAAATACCCTACACTACTTCGTTGAATACATAATAATACCGTTTATGTGGAGTGTATCGTAAAAGTGGTCCGATCCATATAATTTTCAAAAGCATTCGGACTTGAACCGGAACACTTCGGGTGTACCAAATTCGATCAAAATATCTCAAAAATTGCGACCTTTAGAATGAACACAAAAACAAAAAAAACAAGACGGGTAGACAAGCTTCGAATCGGATATTTTAATTAAATTTGCTACACTGACATACTTTGATCCAAGGATTAAAGCTATTGAAAGAGTTCTGCAAAATTTCCCACAAAACTCATTGATTAACAGTATTTTGACATTCAAAACTGATATGAAGAGCTTGTTTCAGCTGGCTCAACTATTTGAATCCTCTATCTCACATAAGCACCCCTATGAACGCTGAATCTTTGTACGATCGATAGGTGCCATTTTCAATAGATAGTATTCTTAGAGGCACACTTGATGCACAAAAAATCAAATTTATAGTTTGGTTATGATATATTTCGCATTTTGGATATAGCTACACAGACCATAACGAAGATCGCACCATACATGGGTATGAACATTATTGGCATGTTGTTTGCACCTTTCGTGTGTTGAGATCTGGGTTAAGATTTGAAAAAAAAGATCCCCATTTTATAGGCGAGTAAGCAAAGAAATGTCACTAACAATTTAATGGTCGCGGATTGAACTGTGATTGAACTGTGGTAGAGTTATCAATCAACAGGCGAATATATGATCTAAGTTTTCCAGCAGATAACTTGTAAATTTATTTACATATTACATATATATTTATTTACATATTACGTACAATAAGTACATAAATAAACAAATACGAAATTTTATAGAAGACAAAGCGCGTAAAACTTTCAATTTTCTCTTTTTAGAAATGTTCATTGTTCGTTCATCATGAAAATTAACTCAATTGATTGGTGCAAGGATTCATTTACAGTGACGGAAAAATAACGTAAACATAACCAAACAGAAAATGTGTTCATATAATCCACGAAATATGCTCACAAGCCGCATATAACGGAAAATTTAAAATATATATTTGATATACGATATGTCCGATATAAAATAGGATCGGATATATCGATCTCTTTTGCAAATAAAGATCAATTGTGTATGTGTGTGTGCGTAGTGGTTGGTATTAAAAAAGTTGCTTCCATTGGAATATAAATTTCTTTTCTGCTTATAATTGCTATGCGTAGGAACAGAATGACGTAAGCGACACTGTGCGTATTGAAATAAAAATTTTCAAAATTCCGTTTCGGCTATTTGAACTTTCTCTTTACTCGGCCAGGTATGTATGCTGTTCAAGTAAAGTGTAATCGATTTCTAGGTTTATCTTGAATCAACTAATTGTCATGGACAAATTTACTCGTCATTAAGAGAAATGGTAATAAACCTAATTCTCTTCTTAAACGAAATTTCATGTCATACACGAACTAAAAAGGAAAAATAATTTTTTTACATGAAAATTGAGTTATAACACGAGTTAAAAAGAAAATGTTCCCTTTTTACATGAATTGTTTTTTTTAACACGATTTTCAAAATTCTATAAATTTTTTTTATTATTATTTTTTTTTTTATATTTCTCTAAATCACAAGTTTGATTACGGCGATTATATGTGTATATGAAAGGGTTTTCCAGAATTATGCATGGAGTAAGGGCGTGATGTATTTTTTAAGCTATTTATTATTAGTTTGGTTTTTCAAGGCATAAGTTATTTCTTATAATATATTTAATGAATTAAAATGCGTAAGGCACGAAATAAATTCTTGGGTAATCTCTAACAAGAATTTTTTAATATTATTCATTGTAATTGCTTTTTTACGAAACGATTTCCCCATTCAGCCACCTTATCTTTTTTTACACGTTTTTTTTGGGAATGTATCTGCTGCGTAAAAAGAGAATCAATTGCATTTTGTGGTATGATGACTATACTTAGTTCTATCGGTGTGTACACATATCCCAAAATTTTTCTAGTTAATGGCAACAAAGACTGAATCAATTGTTTCGAGACACTTTACTCGATATACCCTACACTGTCTATAAATCGGGCAAATGAAGCAACATAAATGGCTACACGACAATGTAAACTAAGAAAGAAATCCATTTTTAAAAGATAAACAAAAATATTTTTGCTCATTACTCAAAAACTATAACAATAAAAATTTAATGTATTCTATGGATGATTATATAGCACGCGTACAGAAATAGAAAAAAATCAGCCAAGCCCATCCAATGATTAAAGCGCGTTAAAATTTCATTTTCTTCGCTTCTTATACTCTATATCACTCACGTAAACTCACAAGCCGCAGAAATTTTTAACTTAAAAGATCAACGAACAACGAAGACAAAGAACCGAGTTTATTTTTGAACTGAGCTAGGCAATAATTGTAAAAAAAACAAATTTAATTTTTTTAGTTAGTAATTATAATTTCAAAGCTCGGACAGACGGACATAATTAAATGATCTCATGCTAATTAAAAATACTCATATTACATCGCTTGTGTGATACAAAGTTATATTAAGTTCACACGGATGCACGCAACATCCAGAAGGACTTTCGATAGACGCATTTTTTATTATGCCAAACGATTCAGAATCATTTTCTAAATCGGGAAGTTTTCTGAATCGATCGAAACTTGTCTGACTGCCCTGTTTTCTTGTGTTCAACCGAAATGTTATGGCCAAAGGACAAACGGTATTCAATATGTTTCGGTTCGGACCACTTTCTCGATTACTTCTCCTATGGCGGCTTATTCTGAAAAGACGTTACATGAATGATGTTTAATTATGGGGTTTACTGTTTCTGTTATACCATACACAGAGTATATTACGTTAGTGCGGACGTAATTAACACCCAGAAGGCCTCAAGGTAGACCTATTTTTTATTATACCGATCGATTCAGAATCTTTTTTTAAATCGATCTAAGCCCCTGTCTATCGATTTCAACCTATTTTTAGAAATTTTGGTAGACTGACTGGTTTTCACCTAACGATGAACGCTTTTGGAAAATGGCATTTTGAAAGATCTTAAATGGAAAAAACTTGCAATTTTCAAAATATTTCAACAAAAATCGATGTCGACACGAAGTTGCTATGAAAAATTTTTGAAACCCTCTCTCATATAACTGGGCCTTTATATGGTAAACAAAAGATCCAATTTTTTAATATTTCATGGCGAAGATTAATTCATAACATCAAACTGAAGCAGAATTTGGACCATGTAGATCTATTTTTTGAATATCCGCTGCATTGGGAGCATCCTCAGAAAATGTGGACTTTTAGAAGGCAAAAAGCCTAATTGACAACTTCTTTATGATCGCAATTTGACACAAATTTGAATGACATGGAACCATTTTTTGGATCTCCATCCATGTAAGATTTCTCATGAAGAGCAATCCCCCCTTCAGGAAACGATTCAATATTAAATAAATTATGATGAAAATTGGTCTATAATAGAAATTTAGCACAGAAATTAATGGTAGAGAATTTAAATCACATAGGTCTATTTTGTAGAGCCCAACATATACAAGGATTATCATGGCAAGTAAGTCCTTATATGGAGAGAAAACGTAATTTCTAGTTTTTTATGACGAAAACCGAAAAATAATAAGATCTTTGACAGATAAATTAAGTTCACAAAATTTGGATCACGTCATGCCTGGGTATCCTCCAATAGAGAGCATGCCTTTGCATGAATCTAATGTATAATTTTTTGTGTGTTATTACCAAAACAAATGAATAACTTTACTAGCCGAAGTTGTGTAGGGTTTCTAATGATCGGCCTTTCCCGACTATATTGTTCTTCGTACGGAATTTCATAATATTCAAAAAAAAAAAACATTTAGGCACGTCTTTGGCAAATCCCGGTACCATCATCATGACTTTCGCCTTTTTTATCCGACAAATGTGTTTGTTATTATGGATGAAGTTATATGAAAGACAAAAAAACTAACTATGTATTCTGCTTCTTTTTTTTTTTTTTTTAATTTATATAATGTGCTAACTTATTAATGAATGAATGGTATTATTATCGTACGATATATAGTATTAGTTCAGCAATTTTATAAAATAAGGAAACAAAAATAAAAAATAATAATAATAATAACAATCATAATAAAAATAATCAAACAGAACTGTCACCTCCGTTGGGACTGTCGCAAAATAAATGATGAAATGATTAAATGAAGACTCTTTTTTAAAAAAGTATATATATATTTTAAAAACAATTAAGACTTTTTCTTTTCTTAACGACTAAAAGGTTAGTTAAAAAAATTAAAAAAAAAAAAAAAAAAAATTTAAGAAAAATTATATGTGCTGCCACCTTATTTAGATTCATTAAAATTATAAATGAATAAAGGGAAAAATTTCATTCTCAATCCAATACAGAAAAAAATTTTCAAACAAAAGCTAGAAAACAATTAAAAAAAAAAAAAAAATACCCGATGATGATTTTTGTTAGATTGTTTTTGAAAATGCGTGTGAGGAGGTGAAAATATGTAAATATGTTTATAAACAAAAAAAAAAAAAAAAAAAAACTTACATAGTCTGCGGAGGGGAGACAAAGTAAAGAAATTTGTGCTAATATTTTAAGAAGTTAGCTATAAGCAGGACAGCTAAAGGAAATTCACAACAATTTCTTGCTGCAGCGAGTCGAGCATGTGCACAACGTGTTTGTGTGTAGTGTATGTTTTATGTAAATCGATCGGAATGTTTGCGTACGTTTATGTGTGTTTACGTGGTTGCGTGTGTGTTCAATGGTTGGGTTTGCATATACGTTTGGATGTGTGTTTAATTGTGTGCGTGCGTGTTTTTGTGTTTGTGAGTACGCGCATATTGTGTATGTTATGTAGAGTGAATGTCTGTTTGCGCGAGTGAAAGAGAAAAGAAAGAATTTACCTGTATTTGTTTGTCCCCCACTTGCAGCAGCAGGTGTATGGGATGTAACTGTGGTTGATGATGACGGTGGTGGTGGTGGTGGTCCCGTATTAGGCGTTTGTTGTGCCATTAAATTATAGCTTAATGCATCCGCAGAAGCTGAAGAGGAGTAGTTAGCAACGAACGATTTCGTAATAAGAACGAACGAACGAACGAACGAACAAACGAACGAACGTACGAACGAACAAACGAACGAACGAGCGAGCGAACAAGAGAGCGAGTAAATGAGCAAGCGAACGAGCAAACGTACGTACGTTACGAGTAAATATGAACGAGCGTTAGAGAGAATGAGAATCATGAAAAACGAATATATTTTTTATATTTTAATATGGATGGAATATTTGAAAACGATAAAAAAAAAAAACAAAGAAAAATAACAAAAAAAAAAAAAACATGCAAGTTTTCTTAGGGCTATATATAAAAAGAAAATATAAATTGGAAAATGTAACTTTTATAATATTTTCATTTCTTAACAAAAAAAAAAAAAAAAAAAAAAAAAAAAACTCGTGAGAAAGGAAGCACTGTAGATTACCATAACCCAAAACGTTTATAATCATTTTTAGCTTAAACCACATAATTGTCTTATATTTTTTTTTGTTCTTTATACATTATTTTAAAATATTTCCTCAATTTAATTAAATTAAATGTTAAAGTGGCCTCTTTCATATATATATATATACATATATAAATATATGTGTGATCTAAAGTATATACAATTTTCCTAACCACCACCCGCTGCGCTACATATATGTAAAGAAAAACGTGTAGCCTGCTTTAAGGCATAAACTCATTTATGTAAATAGAGTTTAGGTTTACTCTTTACTTTGTTTTTGTTTTCTTCTTTTTTTTTTTTGTTTTTGTTCGATATGATGATTGCACAAACAACAACAGACAAATTTGAAACCAAATCTTTCTACTTCTTTGCTCTTTCTTGGCCTGATATGAGACAGCGCGAGCGAGAGAAAGAGATAGAGAGAGTGAGAAAGACAGAGAGAGAGAGAGAGAAAGAGAGAGTCTCACGCACGTAAACATGTAGGTGTGGGCGTGTGAATTGTTTTGAGGTGTTTTTGTGTTAATAAACGTCAACACTTACCACTGACTTTATTGGAATTTTGATGCGTGGCCACAAAAGAGCCCGTACCTGCTGGCACGTTTGTTACAACGGCGGTGGCAGCACTAGACGACGTTGATGCACCTAATACTGTTGAGCCCAAACCGCTTGTTGCGCCACTAGCTGCACGATAACTGTACAAAAATCCTGGCTGAACTATTGTAGCGCGCTGTGGCAAAATTTGAGTGTGTGAATGATGTTGATGTGTTACAACACCGTGATGCGGTAATAAATGATTTTGCTGCGGCGGTTGCTGCTGCTGTTGCTGTTGGGCAGATATTGCGACGACAACAGCACCACCAGCAGTGGCCAGCGCTTGATGCTGCGGATGTTGATGTGGATGATGATTGTGGTGGTGGGACCCCAGTTGTTGCTGATGCGTTAAATGATGCGTAGCCGACGGCGGTTGGGGTGGTGTGGAGAGCAATTGATGGCCCACTACTACGGGTAAATTAGCGGCGGTTGCGGTACCACTACGTGAAGTGCCACCACTACTGCTATTACCGCTACTGCTGCTCGCACTGCCGTGGTGTTGGGCCTGTACCGAACTTACACAAGAACCCGTCTTGCCTCTAGAGCTACGTCTAAGTGAATGCGAAGAATGGTGATGACCGGAATTACTGGCGTGATAAACGGCACCGGTGTCGTGAGCGTTGCTGGGTACCAAACCAGCGCCCAAACTAAGCTCGACCGATGAATGATGCGACTGCTGTAAATGCGCTGAACCTTGTCCGACTTGATGATGTAAACCACTCACTTGAGGATGATGATATCGAGTAACTTGATGCTGCTGCTGTTGCTGTTGTTGTTGTGCTTGTTGACCGGGTAGTTGCACTTGCTGTGTTGCCGGCGACGGAACCTGATATACAATTGGAGTTCCGGCAATTGAACTTTGCCCAGTTGCCGGATAAGAATTTAAATTTAAGTTAAGAATAGCAGTAGATGACGCGGCACCAGCCGGGTAAGTTTGATAGAAATGAACTTGCTGTTGCGGGGGTGGTTGTGCTTGTAAATGCGTCGGAGGATGAGTAGTATAATACGTAGTGCCCGGATTCTGTTGGGGTAAATAATGAGTGGGAGGCGGTGCTTGTCCCGGATGTTGCAATATATGAGCGGTATGTTGTTGTGTATAATGAGAGTGTGTCGTCGCAGAGGCAGCAATGACTGTATGATGTTGATTATGACCTGGATGCGTTTGCGGTGGTAATTGTTGATGTCCTGCCGCTACTATAACACCACGACTAAGGCCCGCTACGTTACCGCTATTCAAATTATGAGTGCCTCCTAAAACAATGCCACCTGCTAATCCAACTCCGCCTCCACCTGCAGCTACTGCTCCTCCTCCACCACCAATATTAGTCGCGCCCGTCGGTACACCAATATTGTAATCGGCACTATTATTACTGGCAGTCGGGTTGGTGTTAGGTTGGGTGCTAATGCTGCCACCACTGCTGCGTGTTTGTCGTGCCCCCAGATTCGGGGCTCTAGTGTAGCCCGTCGTCGTAGTTGTTGTTGTAGACTTTGGTGAAACAGCAATTTTCTCCGAACACTGACTTTGCGCCTGTGTCTTAGAGCTGACACTAAAATTGCTAACGGCAATACCGCTAGTTGATTGGCTGTTGCTAGCACTTAAGTTATCAGCAGCTCCTCCTCCTCCTCCACCACTTCTTCCACCTGCTTCTCCTCCTATCAAACGTCCGCTAGTTATTTCCCTTCCCACTTTTATACGCTGATCTTGTGATTGCTGGTGTTGCTGTTGTTGTTGTTGTGGTGATTTGTATTGATTTTTCAAACGCTTTGAATTTTGAGATCGAGTTCGTAAAGACGAACGTCGACTTAAACGACGTCTCTTAGAAAGGAATCGTTGAGCTTGTAGCTGTTGTTGTTGATGTTCTTGTTGTTGTTGATTTACGTGTTTACCTTGATTTCATAAAATGTGAGGAAAAGCAAATAGAGAAAAAACACAGGTGGTGTGGTAAAATGCTTTCAATTTCTTTTTTTTTCTTTCTTTTTCAAATTTGAGACTCCACACAACATTGATTGGTTTCAAAAAGAGTGAATATTATTTGTTTTTTTTTTTTTTTGTGTTTTTTGCGAATTTTCAGGAAAGATATATGCAAAATATCTCACGGTTTCAGAGAGTATTGGGAATATATTTTAAACTGCTTACTGCTCGTTCAAGCTCAACAACGGGCGATCTGTTTTTTTTTTTTAATCCAAAGCGGATCGATCTACCACTGATTATGCGATTATAACTAAACTCCCAACCCAAAAGTTGCCAAAGTTCAGGACAAGAGAACATGTCTACATAAATATCATCATCTTGCACATGCGAATCTTCTTCCTTTTTTTTTTTTTTTTTTTATTTTACTAAATAAAATCTTTTCTCTATGTATAATAACTTGACAACAGTTTTAAACCATCTTATAAACTGTTGTTAGCTATTTTCGTTCTTCTTCAAGAACAAAAAAAAAAAAAAAACGAGTAAACGAAAATTAGGAAAATGTCCTCCTTTTCTTTTCACTAATTGTTGTCATATATAATATAAGTGGTTGGTAAACACAAGTTTTTCTTTTTTTTTTTGTTTGCGCATATTTTTAAGACGTTGTTTTTCGATACATCAACGCTGCCAGAGCTGCCACCTCCGTTTGATCAATTTTTGTTAAAAAAAAAATTTCTTTTTTTTTTGTTGTATTGTGATTGATTATAAATTTTGTTTGCAATGAGGTTAACAAAAAACAAAAAAATTAATTTTTATTTTCCTTTTTTTTTTTTTTTTAATTATAAATCATACATATGTGGTGAGGATAAAAATTATATATGAATAATGAAAACAAAAAAAAAAAAGGAAATGATATTACTATATACATACGCACACTTTATATACACATTTAACAAAAACAATCAAAAAATTAATATATATAAAATAAAGACAAATAAAAAAAAAAAACAAGAACGTAATATAATAATAAAATTGTTAAGTGCCAAGAAATGCTTAAAATTAAATGAAAGTGTTTTTAAGTGAAGGAGTAGTAGAGTATCGTGGGTTTTTAAAAATTACAAAGCTCCTCGAATCAATTAGTTATGCATATTATGGGAAAGACCTACTGCGCGCGTAGGTAATTAGACAATGCAAAGCATATTCTTCTCTTTTTTCCTTTAATAGCATACATAAAAAAAAAAAAAAATCCTTTCATAATTAATCATCTCATCTCCCTAAAGAGCGCAACAAGAACTTCAGTCAGAATTACAAAAATAGGTTTTTTAAAAAAAATCCCGTTGTTCAAGAAAATTTAAGGTGACAGCACTGTTTTTTTTTTCTAGTTTACTTTTGTGTTTGCTTTAGTTTTTTTTTGATTATTAAAAATCAGACGTGAAATTGGTTTATTATTTATTTCTGTTAATATAATGTTTATCTAAAATTTAAATTATATATAAAGACAAAAAATAAAGCAATAATGACGTGATGCTTGGATCATGTATTCTTTTCATTTTATATTCATTGATTTTCTTTAGATTTACATTGACCATCGCCGGTCGAGTTGTCTTGGGGCATAAGACATTTTCGAGACTCAATCAGGAATAATTTATGTAGGATTTCGATTGGATCGACTAATGTTTAGCCAATGTCATCCCCAATAGCAGTGGCAATATTTATATATTCCCACACTTAAAGAAATTGAGTGTAAATAAAACGACGATCCAGTGATACGAACTGGTGTCCGAAGTGGGATCGTGGAAACCAACAGAAATGGTGAAATTAAAAGATCTAAGAGTGGAACAACTCAAACAGTAGCTGAGAGAAAGGAACGTAACAGCAACTGATGGTAAGGATAACAAAAAGGAAATCCCGCAGCGCTGACTTTGGAGGCAACTAAAAAGGGAGCGGAGTCTTGCGTATTTGAAGTCTATCCCCGACGGGCAGTATTGTAAAAAAAGAAGATACCTGTACAACCGATGAGAGACGGGAGACACGTACTTACGTTGCCGTTGCAGCAAGGCTATGCAACCTTACAAGAAATTACAAGAACAAGCTCAAAGATATCACAAGAACCTGAAAATCTCGTAAAAAGATGGACTAGTAATCTAGATAAGTAGCAAAAGTTTTTACTGGAAAATAGGTCCGTCTTTGCCGGCGGTACAAATTCGCGTGGCCGTACTAATATTGCGAATCATACAATTGACACTGCCGAAGCTGATCCGATTCGACAACGACCTAGAAGAATTCTACCAGCAAAAAAAGGAAAAGTAGCGAACTTGGCCGAAGATATGCAGGAGCGGAAAGTCAATGAACTTCCAAATAGCCCCTGGTGTCCGTCAGTTGTTTTTGTTAAAAGAAGGTGGAACTGCTAGATTTTTGTAGATTGTAGGAAAATCAATAGTGACCAAGAAGGATAGCTACCCTTTGCCTAAGATGGATGGCACTTTGAACGCATTGTCAGGTTCGCAATGACTTTTAATCTTAAATTTGAAGTGCGGGTACTGGGAGATGGAGGTCGATAAGCATAACAAGAAAAAGACCGCGTCTTCCGCTGTCGATGGCTTATTTCAGTTTACCGTAATACCATTTGGATTATGCAATGCGCCACATTAGGGCACCTAATGGACTGCGTGCTGAAAGGACTTCACAAGAAACAACTAGAAATCGAAAAATGTATGTACTTTAGGAAAGAAGTAAAATATCGTGGGCACAAGATTTCAGTGAATGGGGCTCACACAAAAAGAGATGAAAAAAAAGCCGTTAAAGAATGGCCACGTTCAAACAATTTGCATGAGGCTCCTAGTTTCCCCTGACTTGGCGCCTACTACCGTACGTTTGTCCTCAGGTTTGCTACGGTTACCAGTGAGCCAAATGACCTTACGAAGAAAAATCGATCGATCGTGTGCGAGGAGGCTCAGAAGCACGCGTTCACGCAATTGAAAGAGTTGTTATGCGCGGCCCCCATTAAGCTTAGGCTTAGGCAGCGTGCTCTCGCAGCAAATTGATGGCAAGGAAAAGGTAATAGCATACTACACTAAACGCTTATCCAAATCCGAGAGAAATTATTGTGTTACGTGACGAGAACTATTGGCAATAATCCAATCCGTCAAGTTCCAATTTCACAAGTATTTACATGGGCAACGATTCCGCTTAAGGACAGATCATGCTGCTCTGCGATGGTTAGTCAATTTTAAAAAACCGGACGGCCTGAGCCTTCTTGTAGACTTGAAATTCGGGACGCCCTCATTGTATAACGGACGGACACCGAATATGTTGCCATATTGAGGATGAATTTGGATAACATGAAACAACATGTTCGAAATAGATTGCAAATCGTAAGTAACAGGATGAGAGCGAGATAGGATCTGAGGGTTAAAAAAGGAGATTTAGTGCCATCGTACAATCCCTTACGGAAAAGGGAGTAACTGGAAAGGGACATACACAGTCATCACAAGGACAAATGATGCAATCTATCGAATACAAAAACATCCCTAAGTAGAGCTAGACTCAAAGTAGCACACCTGGAATGACCGCTTATTGAAACGACCTTGTTCGGGATTAACAAGATTAAGTGCAGGGCAATATTATGGAAATCCCAATACTAGGTTCATGCCAACTAATTGCTCTACACAGAAAATAAATTTACGAGATATGGAAAAACTCAGTGCACGTTCATGGCGCGGCATGCAGCTGCCAGCCGACGAAGAAAGATTAGCGGAAAACACACCAGACGATGTTAAGTTTGAGCGACGTAAGCATGCCCCTGCGTCCGTTCGTTACCTGTTCTGCCAAAAGATCGCAATTTTTGAGATGTTTTGATGAAAATTGGTACATTGACGTGAATTGAACATGGTTCGGATTGGTCCACTTTTCAGCTTACGTCATTTGCGTTACATAGGTTCATAAACTTTGTGCGGAGGTACGCAAAAACTTTACCAAGATGGACTTGTGTTAGATCCACCTCTTCCTAAACCGACCGACAGAATCACTTTCAGAGGTCCTTCGCTCCATAACGTCCGTCTTTTTTTTATTGCATTCAATCTACAGATTGCAGCTTTTCAGTTACTTCAATGAAATTTGGTAGACTGGCGTGAAATGAAAACGATTCAGATTGAACCAATTTTCCAGCTTCGCCGCTAATAGCACATGCGTATACTAAGCATGTGGAAAGTGCATGCAACATCCAAGAGTTGAGGTAGACCCACTTTTCATTAAAGCAACCGGTTCAGAATCGATTTAAGATTTTCTGCTTTTCTGTCCAACAGACCAATAGACCGCAATTATTAACATATTTTGACGAAATGTGATACACTGACGTGTTTTGGCATAAGGATGACTTCTCTAACCACTTCTCATACAACGCCATTCTTAAAAAGCGGATAATCGTAGGGTGGTGTAGGATATTTTTCGGTGAATCGTTGCACACACCATAGTGTTTTCACCTGTTTTTTAAAAAATCTGTCATGATTTTATTGATGTAACTCCCAATTTTGAAACATATCTCCTATATAAACGTTCCTACGGAAAGTAAACCTTTTATACATAAGCTTTTTAAGGAAATGGTCCAATTTTTAAATATTTTGCAGCGAGAACTAGTCGAGAGAAGTATTGCGACATAAAAATCAGCTGACACGCTAACCCAAGTTGGGGCCTCTTATTCGTGTAAGAAATCTCACGACATGAGAATAGAAGGTATAATCTTTGTTATTTTATTATCACGATAAGTGCAAAATTACATTGGACCTGGGGTCTTTAGAGAGATAAACGAATGATATGACAATATGTTGTTTTTTATTCTCTCTTCCGTACTCCTTTGTAGGTAGGATCGCTCCATATTAGTGAAGAAAGAGGATTTCACAATTGACAAAAAGATTTTATTGCATCGATTTCGAAACGAAACAAAAAATTGAATTTTAATTAGTTAGCCTGATATGTGCACCAGATTACCTGACATTAGAGAAAAGTTCATGACCATATATAGTAGTCTGCTAAGATTTCAGCGTTTTGTAAGTTAGGGCAACATGAAAAACGACCTTGATCGATCAAAGAACGACGATTAAACATAGCCTCAGCTAATAATTGTAGACGTTGGACATAATACCTCAACACTGTCACAAGTTAAGTTATTCCGTTATTCTGTTCTGTACACTGCTTGTGATACAAGGTATATTAAGTTTGTCCGGACAGCACGGCCTTAGATAGAGCCACTTTTGCTTATACAAATCAATTCAGAAAACGATTCTGAATCTCATATCTAAGCTTGTCTGTGCGTCTAAATTCTATCCGCGCATTATGGTGTTTAAGGCAGGTTGCAATTTTTGAGATATTTTGATAAAATTTGGTACACAGCCATACTTTGGCCCAAGGACAAACGCTGCTAACAATGATTTGGATCGGTTCACTTTTTCAACCGCTCCCAATACATCGCTCCCTTCTAAAAAGTCATTATAGGGAGAAAAACATTAGTTTTCAAAATTTCTCAACTAAGTAACTGAGTAGCAGTATTTCAACATTCTAAATTGGTATGAAAAAAAATCCCAAGGATGGGGCAATTTTTTGAATCCACTCTCATCATATAACCGTTCCAAAAGGACACTGAATTTATATAGTAAAAAATCCTATTTCCAATATTTCATGATGAATATTAGAAAAGAAATCTACCTTAGCGAACTTAGATCAGGCAGATCTATTTCTTGGATAAGACCGCATACAAAGATCCTCGCGAAAGGTAAACTCTTATATGTCAAAAATGCCTTTTATTTTGTTGGGATGAAGCTACATGGGTTTGTTTATTTCTAGGCCTCACTTCTTATGCCATAACTCATGAATAATAGGCCCTTCTGAAAAAGACTTAATTTTTAATATTTTACGATCAAAATTAATTCAAAAGAACGTTTCCGCAATCAAATTAAGGATAACGAAGGAATTGGATCACAACAACTATAGCGTAATTTATTGAAACTCGTTTCGGATCAAGGAATTTTTCGGTACATCTCTCACACATAGCATCCTACTTTAGAACATATTGCGAAGTAAGGTAACCTAGCGACGGACGAGCATCGTCCGACTATAATAAGCCGACAAAAAAAAGCAGGCCTGAACCGACTTTACATGGTTTGTTCTATTCCTGTCAGTTTCAATTCCAAAAAAGTCTTGAGGTAAGGTGTTCATCAGACAATTTTTACTATACAGTTCGATTTGGGAAATCAATGAATATATTAAAATCCGAAGAGCAATGCCATACGAAAGAAAATTCAAAATTAAAAAATATATTAAAAAAATAAAAAACCGAAGTGAAATTGGAACGCGTACATTAAGGAAAAAAAGAAGATAGTAAAATAAAAGCTTTATTGAAAAAAAAAAAAAAGAAAAAAAACACACACAAAGAAATGATAAGCAATAAATATTACAAACAAACACAAAACGAGAGCAACACAATTAGTTATACATTCCGTACCAATAATAATAATAATAATGAAAATATAAAAATAAAATGATATTTTGTGCCGCACACAGCTTAGTTATACTTATACGGTTTTAAAAACAGAGAATAGGGCCAAAAGAGTAATGGAAGAGAAACTCCTTTCCTTTCCTCCCTCCCTTAATAAAATTTTTTAACTTTTTTTTTTCTTTTCTTTTTTTACTTATATATATATACAAATTACTTTGGTGACTTACCTTCGATAGCAGCAACAACTGAATCCGGTACTTCGTCGGAATCGTCGTCGGCTTCCTGTTCGATTTCTTCGTCGTCGTCTTCGTCGATCTCGTCTTCCTCTTCCTCAATTTCGTCGTCGTCGCCGTCGAAGAATTCGATATCTTCGTTACCGTTAATAACGTTCTCGTCTTCCTCTTCTTCAAGTGCTTCACTATCTTCAGGATTTTCAACCCTATCGTCCTCCTCTCCGTCGTTACCACCGTCCAACTCGTCGTTACGTTTAAAGTGACGACGACCGCTGCTAATATCGTTATTTGCCTCTTCCGCAATTAAACGCGTATTGTTATTGTCTTGAGAGATAATACCACCAATTGCACAGCTGCTACTGCTATTACTGTTACTGCTATTAACGACTCCTGCTGCTCCTACTCCTGCTGCTGTTGCTGTTGCTGTCGTTGCTGACGAATATGTATCGCCTACACTTTCGTTAATAGTTGCGTTATAATTGCTGGTGCTGGTGGTGCTATTATAATTGTTATTGAATTTATTACCCGAAGCGCTTTTTCGTTGATATTTATTGGAACGATTATCGTTGATAATTGATGCGTTCGCTTTTAATGCGTTCGACGACGAAGATGGTAATGAACTTAAAACAGTATCGGCAACACCAAAAGGCAAAGCTGGTATTTGTGATGTAGTAGTCGCGGCTATTGCTGTTGTTGCTCCTGCGTCTCTAGCTGCTAATTTAGAATTCAACTTAGCTTTATTTCCCACAATTGATAAGAAATTCTTAGTTGACTGTGATTGTCTCTTATCGCTGACTTCGCTAGCACCACCACCACCACCAATGCTTGTGTATTCCGTTAAACTGTTATTGATGATGTGGCTACTATTATTACGTGTTGTTGAAGTCGTCGTCAATTGTGATGGACTTTGATTTTGATTCGGATATTGATTCTGATTTATTCGGTTATTGTGTTTCCGATAATTTCGATGACGTCTGCTCGCGTTAATTGAAGTTTTTGATTTATAACTACTCTTCTCCTCAAACGGTAAATTATTATTTGTTGTTGATGTTGTTGTTTTCGCTTGCTTTCGTCTTGGTTGATGATTCTCACTACTGCTATTATCCGAACTTTCCGGGTCAACAAGGGCTTTTGGTTTTCTCAATTGATTAATTTCTCTTTTTGCTTTTGATGTTATAGCGGGAATTGATAAATCTGTTGGTGTTGCTGTTGGCGTTGGCGAAGCAGCTGCGATAGACGGGGACGATGTACGACTATAGCTAAGCTTACGTGTCTTACGATAATAATTTAGCAAATTACCTTTGCTGGATTTAGTTGTAACGGCGACAACAGGTCCACTAGTATGCGGTGTTAAATTTAGATCGAGAGACTTTTGCTTTTTCGTGTAAATCCGTTTATTATTGGTAGCGCTGCTGCTACTACTACCACTGTTACCACCGCTACCGCTACTGGTACCGCTACTATTATTATATTTATTTTTGCTGCCACTACTTGTGCTGGGTTCTTCAAATGCTATGGTCTTAGAACGTGTTCTCTGCGCTATGCAATCGCCTTGTTCTCGAAATAATGTTGCTATTGCCTTATGTTTATTACTTTTATTTAGGGACGACTCGTCCGACACTTCCGTAGCTTTATTGGGATGAAAACGGCGTTTTTTCGGAGGTGCAATGTAATCCTCAGAATGTCCTCGATCTTCTAAAGCCGCAGCTGAAAGCAAATACAATACTTTACTAGTCTTCAAAATGGCAAAACTTAACAATTAAACAATTAGAATATATATATGCAAGTATATATATATATATATAATAAGTCCAGTGAAAAATTCTATACAGGATTCGTCGTAAGCAGAACTGTATCAATTGCGATAACGTACTTTGGGCAGCACTACGCTAAAGTAATTTCTTCAGGGTCGAGATATGCATCACACTGGGCATAGATTGAGTTTTGAGCAACACCCAAAAAAAAAAAAAAAAAAAAACTCCGCACTTTCCCTGTCCAATTCAAGAAAAATGCTAATCGAATGATAATCGAAGGGGACAAAATTCGGGGCGAGGGCCCACTTCTGCATTGGATAGGACCGCCACCGTCCTCGCCATATTCAAAAAACTGTCCTCCTTTCCGGATTGACACGTCTTTGCATTAATGACTTACTATCGATCCGGAAAAAACGAGGGGACGTAGGGCATAAGAATCCGATTGCTTTGCGTATAAGCGTCACTATTAAGTTGTGACTGATAACAAGAGAATTATTATTTGAAAGATCGTCGAATAAAAGTAAATCTTCAATGGATCCCGGAAAGGCACTTTTACAAGTGTTTCTAATCTAATAAAATAAGTGCTAACATAATCTGTCCGAAGCGAAAGGCAACACAATACAACGCCTTGCGAGTTTTTCCTGCTTACGGAACATAAAAGACACCAAGGACATATGGACACACAATGATATTCCCACGATGATATTTCTTGTTTACGGAACAAAAATTCATTAGAGAGATTCTATCTCTCTATAGATCTCTCTCTAGATCCCTCTCTAAATCTCTTTGTTGATCTCTCTCGATCATTTTCTAGATCTTCCTCTAGGTCACTATGGTTGCCAATTTTGAAAGCGTAGGTTTCTTCCATAACAAATAATGTAAAGAGGACTTGACGAGCGTTTTTCAAACAAAGCGAACAAGTGCTTAATATCTAAGCAATATCATGTTACCGCCCAATAAGTTCATACGCCGAGATGCGACGGCGAAGAGGACGGCGATCACTCCAACGTGTTCATTAATAATGTAGCTGTGATCGACGTTTAGCGGCTCTCTAAACAAACAAAAAGAACAGTTTAAATTATGTTTGGAATAATCAAGCATGAAAAATAGAAAAATGTTATCCCGAATGTCATAAACCCAAACTAAATTCAATATGCTTGTGACGATGTGCCATATCATTACATCCAGAAAAAGCATTCCGTGACTTTCCTATTCCTTTCTCTGCATCAAAAGAATCTTCTAAATGGTAACGCTTTTTAACCATAAATCTGAAAATCATCCCTAACAAAGCCTTCCATCAATGTTTCTCAGTTAGGAAATTGTTTTGTTATTTAGGGAAAAATTGCTTTAAAAACCAATATTGGAAATCAATGCTTATTGAGAAACTCAAGAATTCAATGAATCACTTTAAATTCTATGATATTACTCCTACGTTCATCTCTATCATTCCATTTTGTAAAATCAAAAGAAGAGTCAAAGAGGACAAACTCTTTCAAAATAGACACAAGTAAGAAAGCGTCGAAAACTTTATACCCATCACGGTTATCCTATAAAAGATTGAAAAAAAAGGAAAATGTAATAGAATCTTGGGTGCGTGGGGCTTAATTTTTTTCTATTTTTCTAAAATAATTTTGTGGAAATTTATATCGTCTATCTCTTATAGCTTATGAACAACGAGCAAATGATACGGAAAGCAAAGTTGTGCACAGTTTTTGCTGCTTAGGCGTATTGTCCCTGTAGGGGTGTAACTTGACCTGTTCAAGTTATATTCAGATTTTTTTTTGCAGCTTTACAGGCGTTGTCTGCTCTTTTGCGAACGGAAGATGCGAACCACAGTTTGGCACACGGACAAATGGAAAGACGAACAGGTGGACGTGCTTAGGCGACTTCCGAATTTGAAATTGGCTAAGACTTTATATACTTTATGGGGTGTTTGACGAGTGCTTCTGCACATTATAAAGGTACTGAAAAAATTGTAAAACAAATTTTTTATTTTTTTATGTTAACATATCCTTCGAACGATTTGGCTCTTTTTCATGACCCACTGCATGGAAAAATTTTTTAGTTTTCCCAAAATCGAAGACGATAGCACCAATCTTTGCAGCCAGAGTAATGATTACAACAGACTTTATAGAGACGGTCAGACAGACAATTTCAATGTCAAATAGATACAGATTTGATGAGCAATACATGTATACCTTGTTGGGTATTTAAGGCCTCGTTCTGGTCTTTGCAAACGTCTTGACAAAATGAATATACCTCTCAGCCTTTGGTGACGGGTGCAAAATAGCCCATGTCAAGGTAAGATCAACACGATATTCAAAATATCATATTTCTCAAATTTGATTAACAAGCTCAGTGTAATACTAAAAGTTACGATCCATTAAGTGTATTATAGTATTTTCCCTTGAACCTGATAATTCACCCACCTGGCAAATTTATATATATTAGTTTGGGGAAAAAGAAATCCATTATTTTTTCGGTAGATGGCTGCACTGATAGATTTCTCGTAAAGTATCGATCAAACAATTTCAGATTTATGCCCGTTGAAAAGGTGACATTTCGCAGTAAAAAAAATTCTTTTGCTGTTTTTTGTTTGGTGCATTCAGTTGTGAGTTAGAGCGTGTTAAAAATGGAAGTGAACAAAGAGAAAATTCGGTACATTTTACAGTTTTTCTTTGACAAAGGCGAAAATGCAAGCCAGGCGGCTAAAATTGTGAATAGTGTTTATAATTCCGATACTGTAACAGCCAATTATGTGCAATTTTGGTTTCGTAGATTCCGTTCAGGAATTTTTGATTTTTGATGCACCTCGCACAGGTAGGCCGGTCGTCGAAAATGTCGATAAAATCGGAGAAATGATCGAAGTTGACCGGCATGTTAGCGGACGTAACATCGCCCAGGAGCTAAAAATCGACCATAAAACAGTTTTAAACCATTTACACAAAGCTGGATTCAAAAAGAAGCTCGATGTTTGGGTGCCACACCAATTAACAGAAAAAAACATGATGGATCGAATTTCCATCTGCGAAGCCTTGGCCAAACGGAATGAGATAGACCCATTTCTTAAACGGATGGTGACTGGAGATGAGAAATGGATCACATACGATAACGAAAAAACGATCGTGGTCAAAGAGCGATGAAGCACCACAAACGGCCAGGAAGGTTTTGCTATGCATTTGGTGGGATTGGGAGATGATTATTTATTATGAGTTGCTTCCATATGGCCAAACGCTACATTCTGATCTCTACTGTCAACAACTGGACCGTTTGAAGATAGCGATTGACCAGAAACGGGCAGAATTGGCCAACAGGAGAGGTGTCGTGTTCCACTAGGACAATGCTAGGCCACACACATCTACAGTGACTCGCCAGAAACTTCGGGAGCTTGGTTGGGAAGTTTTAATGCATCCGTCATACAGTCTGGACTTGGCACTAAGCGATTATCATCTTTTTCTTGCATTGCAAAATTTCTTTAATGATAAAAAATTGGAATCTAGGGAGGACTGTGAAAATCGACTTCTAGAGTTTTTTGCAAATAGAGACCAGGACTTCTATGAGAGAGGCATTTTGAAGTTACCTTTAAAATGGCAACAAATCATACAACAAAACGGTACATATTTGACCCAAATCGGACAATCCGAAGCATGTTAAATAAAGTCCTGAAGTTTATATAGAAATAATGGATTTATTTTTCCCCAAACTAATATATATTTATTTTGGACATATTCATTAAAAAAAAAAACAAACAACCACTTCTGAATTATTCCCTTGGTCGGTTTCTGTACAAATAGGGAAAAATAAAACGTCTTTTTTTAAGCTTTTTAAAGTAGGTTTAGGTCCCTCCCAAATTCTTCTGCAGGCGATAAGCCCGATTTCCCTAACGGCAGAATATTTGCTTAAAACACTAGACAATTACGCAGACAGACAGACATACAAGTGCCGCCCAAATTTGAAACTTGCGAAGAATTTATTAACTTTATGGAGGTTTTGAAGCTTATTTCTGTGCTTTATAAAGATACTGAAAAAAAATTCAAGCTTCAATGCACTATAACATTGGGTAGGCCGACTATATTTTCCCTCCTTTTTGTATATGTACAACAGCATGTAGTAGCATAGAGTATTCGTTCAAATTTTTCTTTACCTGCTATAGTTTGAAAAACAGACTTGTTTTCAGTTTACGCACTACTGTGTCAAAGACCTCCGACCGATTTGGCCCATTCTCAATGCCAAACTGCGTGCAAAAACTTCCAATGTTTCTGCCAAATTTGAAGGTTTAATTTTTGTGGTCAGAAGAATGTTTTCAGCAAACATTACGTAGACGGACAGACGGACATGCTTGATAAATCGATTTGGAATTTAATGCTGATCAAGAATATATTTTGCGGGATCTCTGATGCATCCTTCTAGACGTTCCAAACGTTTTAAGAGAATGAATGTACCCCTGATCTTTCAGTGATGGTTATAAAAACTATAATGCCACTGACATGAAGGGATCTTATGAGATAAACCAGCCGCAACAGAAAACGTTACTTCATCCTACACTAATAAACGATACAAGCAAATCACCCTTCAAACTCTTAACATTGAACTCTTACGGAGGGCGAATAAGCGTAGGGTACTAATAAACTTTGGGAACCTCGATTTTTTCAATCATAAAATTTGTGTATAGTGTTTTCGTAATTTTGTGGCTGCTTGCAAATTTTGCAAGTTCATCAAATAATTCTGATGTCAATTGCTTACCCTGATCGGTGGTAATTGTTAGAGGAGCATCAAAAAATTTGCGTGTTACAGTGGAGGGGTATGCCTCAGATCAGCTTGTGAAAAGTGTAGAAAGCCACAAAACTATAAAAAACAACCATTCAAAGATTTTTAATTAACAAAACCAAGATTTCAAGGATTATTAGTACCCTACACAAAACAAGTGATAAACGATTTTAAGAACAAAATCAGAATATGCCCATCCTTTATACGCCCACGTTTATTACCAGCACCCAGTACCTACATTTGGTTTACATAGTGTAACACAACAAGTGGTCATCGATTTTACGAACAAAATCACTTTACATATGTTCTACCAAAGCTTTGAAAGCTATTTGGCCGATATGTTATCCCCTATGTGTCCCTAGCTCCGTACCATGTACGTTAGGAGTTAGCAAAAATTGAGAAATACGCTTTGTGAGAGCTACGCTTTGTAATCCAATGAGAGATAGGAGGGCATTTGGTACAGTAAAACATTCTAAACCCAATCAGAACCATATTAGTTAAATGAAATAAACTTGATCTATCCTTTTATCTTCAAAATCAAAATCTCTCGGCATCTCTCGATATCTTCTCGACAATCTAGCGTTGTCGCGATTGTATCTTTCTTCGGGAAACCACCAACAAGCTTTTGTATTGACATATAGAATCAAACTAAGTCTCAATCTTAATCACAACCATATAAACATATTGCACAAGATTTTTCGAAAATTGCAAAAAAAATCTTTCGAGCGGGCACATTATGTTAAGCATATGCATACTTTCGAGCCTTGTAACGAGAATGAATTATAATTTCAGCCAATGGTAGGAGAAAAGAAAACACAAAAAAAAAAAAGTTGCAAGCGGCTATAAGTGAAGGGTGTGCTGTCCGGGAAATGTTTCGTAAAATTCCTTAACGAAAGTTTTTATCGTCGTGAACGATTCATTTCCTAACTGGGACATATCATGCATTTTTACACTTCAAAGATACATATATAGAAATTTTAAAGTTACATTATACGTATGTGGTGGAGTGGTGACCACCACAAAGTTTATTTTTAAACAAGAAAGCTGTACTTACGGGTTTCTCTTACAGTCTTTTGGGATTGCTGTGATCCTTGCTGTACCTGATTGTAGCCACGTTTTCGTTGACGCGAATTGATCGACTTCGATTGTTCTTGATTTAATTGTTGTTGTTGTTGTAGTTGCGATTTGCTGTTACGTTTAGTGGGTGTTTTGTTGCGGACCGGTGCGTTTTTATTACTTGAAGAAACGTTAGTATTATTATAGTTATTTATCTTCTGCTGCCGATTACGATTACGATTAGATGTTGGTATAGGTGGCGTTGTTGTTGTTGGTTTTGTGCTTCCGTCGTGCTGCCCCTCCGTCACTGCAGAGAGCAATTTACTACGAACGGATTCGGCCATAGACGACACTTAACCGCACATTCAACCCCACTAAACATGCCCTCGCAACACTTTATTAAAACCGTTAAATGAGTTGAAAAAGAATTTTATATTTTTATATATATATATACATATACATACATATATATATATATATTATAATAAATTAATCTTCTTCTGATAAATATATATGTATTTTTTTTTTCTCAAATTTTAGTTTCAAAATGCGAGTACACATGCATACACAAAATTATAAATATATATAAACGCAGGAAGGATTGAACAATTTTCTATTATATTTATGTTTATTTATTCTATTTTATTTTAATTTATTTCTTTTTTATTTATGTCGTCACTTTTTTTTTTTCTTTCAATACTTTATTTTCTTTTCACAAAGATTTTTTCTTTTCTTTTTACTCACTTTTTTGCATATAAGTGCAACCATACGACGTACTAGTGATGGTATTTAGTGGTGGGGATGTGTAGTTGTGGTGGTAGCGGTGGCGATTGTGAGAATAACGTGAATATTTGAATTTTTTTTTTTTTTTATTCTTATGCTTCACTCACACACAATATTTTTAGTTTGTTTTTTTTTTCTTTTTTTTTTAAATTTTCAGCAACAAAGTTTACTCTGCTTTGATTTTTCGCTTTTCTCTTTTTGTTCTTTCTTTAGCCCGCAAAGGAGCTAATTGTTTATATCTGAAAATTGCCAAGTAAAAAAAAAAAGTATTGTTAAATAAAATTGTCGACAATTTCGTAGCGAATTCTTTTTCTTCTTTAACACGAAATTTTTAATATTTTTTTATAATAAAGAAAAACAACAAAAAAAAAACCAAAAGAAAGATTTATTCGAAAAAAGGTAAAATAAACACAAAAATTATTTTTGTCAAAAAAACAATGTCATGTCGAAAAACTGCGTGGGAATTAAACGACAGATTTGATTGTAAAAACAAAGGCAACAAATTTATGAAAACTCTAGATCGCAAGAAGAAATTAAAAAAATTGGAAGTTTTTCTCTTTTTAATTTCAATTCATTTTTCTTTCATTTCCTTTTGTTAGTTTAACATTTTTCAATATATGACGATGATGACGACAATAATGATGTTTCATAAGAAAAAAAAAAAACAGCGAAACGAAGGAAACTAAAACTAGTCTATCCTGATTAGATACATACCGAGCGAATATGAAGAGGCGACTAAACTAACGAACGAACCAAGCAAGCGACCCGCCAGCCAAACAATCGTCCAAGATTTATAATTAAAAACTCAATTGGACGGAATTTGCGCACGTGTATTGGTGTTTGTATATCAAAATACGAATGTGCTCTCATTTTTTCACTCATTTTATTCTCTTTGTGTATTTAATACTTTTTTAACCTCAAGCCAAAGAAAAAAGAAACAAAAAATTGCCCATGAAATCAAGAGAACGATAACAAACTTATAGTGGAAAATACACAGCGAAGCAAATATTATTAAAAATGTTTCAAAAGGTGCCATATCTTCTGCCTTCGCCTAACACTTGCTTACCCTAACACGCATACCCATAACTGCCTGCCAAATCATCAAATATGTGCATATGTGCATTTAATAATAATTTCTTCGTTGCAGGCATCTCGTAACCCCTCATATCGTCAAAGTCAAATGTATTGGGGATTGTACTACCCCATCGCAGGATGTAGATAAACTAATTCGTTAATCCGTTTGTTACATGAAAACTATCGAGTTTGTTATTTTCAAGTCTTCGACTTGTTTACAATTTTACAGCGTTGAATTTGCTTTCGCCTACGGTAATTTCCAGTAAATTAAAATACGGATTATACAGAGACACCGCGTATATGCTGTTTAAAGCCAACGAACATTTTATGAAAGGGATTTGTATGTTCTTATATGCCGTCATAGTATTTGCTTTGGACAAATGGAGTTACGCCTTGCAGTGTCCCTACGCACATTTATTAGGGCAAGTAGGAAAAACATATTTTATTTATGTTAAGAACGAATTCGTCAAACCATTTCGCTTGAAATCACAGACGTTTACGTTGCACTCATATTATTAAGTGATTAAATTCGACCAGTAAATATATGACTTTGTTTACATGGCGAATGAAAAATAAAAGAAAAATTGAAAAATGAAAAAAATATCAATGACCGTATAAGGCACAAGAAATTTATGTTTTTGTCTGCAACGTCTTCAATTTCACGTTAGTAATATACGTTTTACGTGCAGTTTTTTTTTTTTTTTGCGTTCAAATTTTATGCTTCTTTTCCATTGTTGCCAATGGGTAGACTTTTTTCATTTTTTCCCTTAAAAGCAAGTCGGCAAGCGCTGCTGCTCTGCTTATGACCACGTATCACAAAGGCAAGTATTCCAGCAAAGCAAGGGATTTATTTATCTGCCAAGTTCTTTAATAGGATTATTCTGTTGTCGTGGAATTGTCACTCAAACAGAATGGCTTTCGTCTCCATTTTTCCACTCGTTTTCCTCCCGTTTTGTTTTCCTTTTCTGGCCATGAATGTGGCTTATTAAATAAAAACTTATTTCCTTCCTCAGGTAGTGTTAGGAAGGTTCGTAACAGTTATCAGAGAACTAGCCATAACTTTTCTTTACTCATTGTTAGATTGTGGCCACAATATTTCCTGCCAAAGTGATCTTCAAAAAAAAATCAAATCAAATATTTTCTTATCCTACTGTTACACCACCCTGCTTAAGCGCTCGTTGTCAATCATCATTTCCGTGGTGTTAGTTAGTTATGTTTTAAAATACAATTTCAATCCTGGAATCAACCAAGCGCCTTGCCGATTTTTATCTAGCGCCAACGTATAATATTCCCCAACCATTCATTTAATTCTTTTAATCAATTGCTGGATACATCCAAGTCCTTATCTTGCAGTGAAAAGAAATCACCAGGACAGAAGTGTGCCTCTTCTCCTCTTGCACAATTCCATACATTAGCACTTTCCTAAACACAAATCAAGCTGGCCGTTCTGTTTCTCTCTAATCGTCGCATGTAATATTCCCAGCAAGTCTTAACTAAGTAGAAATACCTACACAATAGACCAAAGGTTTTTTCTGTTAGTTTTGTTCTTCTTCAACAGCGCACAATCTAAAATATACTCTCCCGTTAACATTTAAACATTTACACATTTCTGTAATGGTTTAGTCTATATATCATTTTAAAGAGTTTTCTTCTATCGTAAGTGTCAAAAAGCATTCGAACCAAGCCGATTATAGAAGATTTCTTTGATATATGGGTATCACACTTAAAGGCTAACTTTTAATAATTTTTGTTTTTATATATGCATTGCAATAATTGTTCGAACAAGTATTATCTGTTTTTATAAGGGTTTTTCTTTTTAAATGTTTATCGCTTTTTTGTTTTTAAAAAATTAAAAAAACCAATGATTGCGATCACAGCAGAAACCATTTTTTCCTTTAACTCACTAAACAACACTCAGAACACCCAGTGAACTCATCATATGTGTAGAATACATAATCGAAATTCCTAGTCAGTCGCTTCTGAGTAAGAAACAAAAAGTCAGAAGAGGGAAAGAGAACTTATTGAGAAAATAATTCGCAAAACACTAAAAAGCATTAAAAATCGACAAAGAGAGAGCAGCACAAGTGAGACTGACAAAACAAAAAAAAACAAAAAGGAGCGCAGACAAGCAACAATAAAGAAAAAAGACAAAATTGGGTGAGAGAGAGAGAGAGAGAGAGAGACGCAAAGAGAGTGAAGAACATGTTGAAATCAGCTGTTAGTAGCTTTTAATAGTTTGTTTATATTTTCTTGTTTATTTTAAGATTTTTTCTTTGATTTTCGTATTCGTCAGAGCCATCATCATACTCATCATCATCATCAGATCATATGGCCATCACAATGCCAAGTAAGCCACATAGGGAAGGAGAGTTAACCTCACTGCATTGCCTATTCACGTTCATATAAATTAATTTCATATAAAGGCACTGATTGACGAGAACACTAAGCCAGAAAAGATATAAAAATTTATATTTTATACCTACCTACGCAAATAAAAAAAAAAAAAATAACAGCGCAAGCAAAGAAAAAGAGAAAATCTACCTAGAAATTGAGAAAATATTACGCTTTATTTAAAGCAAGCAAATATAAACACATAAATAATTTTTAAATAAACAAAAATTTATTGATGCAAAATTTTTGCAACTGAGCTAAGCTGAGCGAGCTATCAACCTTTACTTTTGCAAATATTGAAATTGCATATAAAAAATAAATGGAAACAAAACGTGACCGAAGCGGTTTTTGTAAGAAAAACCACGACGTTTTCCATGCAAATCAATAAAAAAAATGAAACATCTGTTTACTTCGTCATCTGTAATTATGCATCAATGTGTGTGCATATAAATCTGTCATGGTGTTACCACAGAGGGGGGGAAAAACAACAACAAAACAACAGTAATAAAATGATTGACATTAACTTTTGAAACGTAAAGCAAATCTTTCAATACAATAGATGGATATGCTTAAGTGAGCAAAGTAAATTAAAACTGCTTCTTTTCTTTTTATTGTTGTTATTGCCATGAATTATTTTAAGGAAAATTTCCAACATTTACTAATAACCTTTCCTCACATCGCAGCAAAAAAAAAAAAGAAAAGAAAAATAGAGTCTTAGGTACATACAATAATAATAATAACACTAATTACTTATTTCCCTCAACGATGGAACGAGTTCAAGGTCGTTTAACGCAAGTGGAACGCAATATTGCTTTGAATATTACTACTATTATTGTGACGGTGTATAAAAATTTAGGGCAAAAATAAAAATTCGTTTTCGCCATTTTTTCATTTTTTTCGAGGACAATTTGTGTTTCTCATGAAATGGGTTTCAGTCGTTTCCGTTGTTAAGAGAGAAAAGAAACTTGTGCGACTTTTTGCCAAGTTTATACCCACTCATACAAAATCAAACGACTTTAGAGATGTATTGACTGCTTTCATATGAAATGTTAACGCGTTTTAAGGCGATTATGCGAGGCAAAAAACGATTAGGAACATAATGTATTCGTCTGTGTTCGAATTTTTTATAGCCAACACCTTGACCTTAAAGAAAACTAAAAAAAAATAATAATAATAATAAGGTATGGGCTGATTGTTAACATTTTTGGGAATTTTAATCGGGTGTCTACTAAAGCTTATCGAATGATGAGTAAAAAAGAAGCCCAGAGAATTGTGGTCTTTGTCATTTTTTTTTATGCTGTAAAGCATGTTCTTTAATCGGGTCGGCCTCCCGCGTTTCCGCCAAATTTAAAGCAAACATTAGGTGTTTGCAAAAATTTTGATCAGCGACTTCTACAAGTACATATGGTCAGATAATGGGAAATACCAGTCTACTTAACAGTTGAATTCGATGGTCTTCCTCTACATAAAATAACAGTTTTCCATTTAAAAGCCGACGTTAATCATCTTTCGAAATTTATTACTTTTGTTGTTTATTTCAAGAAATCTTCTGCCGAAGTCCACCAAACACGTCCAGAGACTTATGATGATGCTGTTCCACGATATTCCAATTATCGGTCTTGGTTTCAATTTTTCGAAATTTTTCGACTGAAAATACTATTTTTTGGCCACTTGCAGCAAGAGTTGTCCAGGATGCACTGTTGCAAAGTGCTGGGAAGTTCTGCTGCACCCAACATATTCATCAGACATGGCTTCTTTTGATTACCACTTGTTC